CCTGTTAGTAAAGTCAACGGGTGGTGTGTGAACGAGCGTTTGCCTGTCACTGATTTCAGTAAAGACTGACGGCGCCTGCCGTCGCTGCAGAAGGAAGCGAGGGAGGGTTGGTGCATCACACACACACACAAAGATGTTGTGGTGAAACTCCCTTCTTCCCCGCGAGCTTCGAAGAGGTGCCTGTACCCCCTGGCTCGCCACAAGAAGGCGCAGTGCCGCGGATTATCCCAGTAGCACAAGTAGCTACAACATATATAGTAGTTATAACATATGTAGTACCTACACATGTGTAGTAGCTACACATGTAGTAGCTACTCAGAATCAGAATCAGAAAGGGTTTTATTCGCCATGAAAGTTCACACCGACACGGAATTTACTTTGGCAGGATGGTGCATACATTCAACATATAGGAATCTAAAATCTTAAATAAGTTTTAAACAAGTCTTACTATAATAAGGGTTAAAAGTCTAACTAACACCAAGGGGCTGAAGTATATAAAATTGTATAAATATCGAATATAAAATAGCTTTAAGATATAATTTAAAAAAATACAAATAGGTTAACATAGTTAATATCGGCAAGGTGTCATTATGTAGATAAAATGTTAAAATCAGTGTAAGCCCTTGGCCTTGTTTAACAGGCTAGCAGCGGATGGGAAGAAACTGTTTTTATGGCGTGAGGTTTTGGTCCTGATGGACCGAAGCCTTCTGCCGGAGGGGAGTAGCTGAAACAGAGAGTGTCCAGGGTGGGAGGAATCGGCCATAATCTTCCTCGCTCGCCTCATGGTCCTTGTCGTGTGCAGGTCCTCGTTGTGTGCAGGTCCTCGAGGGTTGGTAGATTGCAGGCAATTACCTTCTCAGCAGTGTGGATGATACACTGCAGTCTGCTCTTGTCCTTGGCAGTGGCAGCAGCGTACCAGACGGTTATGGAGGAGGTCAGGATGGATTCAATGATCGCTGTATAGAATTGCACCATCATTGTCTTTGGCCGGTTGAATTTCTTCAGCTGCCGTAGAAAGTACATCCTCTGTTGAGCTCTCTTGGTGAGGGAGCTGATGTTCAGTTCCCACTTGAGGTCCCGGGAGAGAATAGTGCCCAGGAAGCGGAAGGACTCTACAATTTTGACTGGGGAGTCTAACAGGGTGATGGGGGTGAGTGGGGCTGTATTCTTCCTGAAGTCCACAACCATCTCAACTGTCTTTAGAGCATTTAGCTTTAAGTTGTTCTGGCTACACCAGGTCACCAGGTTGTCAGCTTCCCACCTATAGTCAGACTCATCCCCACCAGAGATCAGCCCAATGAGGGTGGTGTCATCCGCAAACTTCAAGAGTTTGACGGACAGATGATTGGAGGTGCAGCTGTTGGTATACAGGGAGAAGAGCAGTGGGGAAAGGACGCAGCCCCGAGGAGTTCCGGTGCTGATGGACCTGGAGTCAGAGACTTGTGTTGCCAAATTAACGCACTGCTTCCTGTCAGACAGGAAGTCTGTGAACCACCTGCAGGTGGAGTAGGGCATGTTCAGCTGGAAGAGCTTGTCCTGAAGCAGGGCAGGGATGATGGTGTTGAAGGCAGAGCTGAAGTCCACAAACAGGATCCTAGCGTAGGATGCTGGGGCGTCCAGATGCTGTAGGGTGAAGTGGAGGGCCATGTTAACTGCGTCGTCCACAGACCTGTTGGCTCTCTCTGTAGGCAAACTGAAGGGGGTCCAGGAGAGGGTCTGTGATGGCTTTGAGGTGTGCCAGGACCAGGCGCTCAAAAGACTTCATTACCACAGATGTAAGGACGACCGGTCTGTAATCATTCAGTCCTGTTGGCCTTAGCTTTTTGGGCACAGGAATGATGGTGGAGGACTTGAGACAGGCTGGTACATGGCATGTCTCCAGGGAGGTGTTAAAGATGTTGGTGAACACCGGAGACAGGCTGCTTTGCGTGGATTCTGCCTCTTGAAAAGTCTATTAACTACTCCCTCCTGAAAGGAGAGAGTCGTCTCTGTAGTATGGGTGGGGGATGGGGCCTCTTGGGTGGGAAGGGGTGGTTCAGGACAGTCCAATTGTCTTTCAAATCTACAGTAGAACTCGTTCAGGTCGTTGGCTAGGCGGGAGTCGTTAGTGGTGTGGGGGGCTCTGGATTTGTAGTTGGTGATCTACCTGAGTCCTCTCCAGACAGAAGCAGAGTCGTTAGTAGAGAACTGGTGTTTTAGTCTCTCTGAGTACAGTCGTTTAGCCTCTCTCACCGCTTTGCTAAACCTGTTCTTCGACTCCTTGAATCTGTCTCTATCCCCACTCCTAAACGCTTCCTCCTTCTCCAACCTCAACCTTCTGAGCTTTGCTGAGAACCAGGGCTTGCTGTTAAAGTTCACCCTGGTACGTGTTGGGATACAGCAGTCCTCACAGAAGCTGATGTAGGACGTCACAGCCTCTGTGAGTTCATCCAGACTATTGGTAGCAGTCGTGAACATATCCCAGTCAGTACAGTCTAAGCACGCCCGCAAATCTTCCACAGCCTCACTGGTCCACTGTTTAGATGTCCTTACAGCAGGTTTACAGAGTTTTAGTTTCTGCCTGTATGCAGGAATCAGGTGGACTATGGCAGGGTCAGAGTGTCCTAGTGCTGCTCGGGGGACGGCGTGGTAGGCTCTACTGACTGTAGTGTAGCAGTGATCCAGAGTGTTCCCTTCTCTGGTTGAGCATTTAATGAATTGTATGTATTTGGGGAGTTCGTGGCTGAGATTACCTTTGTTAAAGTCGCCAAGTACGATAACCAACGAATCTGGATTTGCTCGCTCCACACTCAGAATCTGATCGGCGAGCATGCATTGGGCCTCTTTAACCTGAGGACACGGCGGCAAATAAACTCCAACCAAAATGAGCGACGCGAACTCGCGAGGCGAGTAAAACGGTTTACAAGTTATAAAAAATGATTCAAGGTGTGGAGAACAATGTTGCAGAATCCCTGTGACATCTACACACCAGCCACTGTTAATGTAAAAACAAATACCACCGCCTTTCGTCTTGCCGGAGAGTGCTATGTCACGATCCGATCTTACAAGATGGAATCCTGCTAGTTGTAGCGAAGTGTCCGGAATCAAATCACACAGCCATGTCTCCGTGAAGCGCAAAACAGAAGCTGAAAGAAAGTCTTTGTTTTTTACCATCAGTAGCTGAAGTTCATCCATTTTGTTGTACAGTGAACGTACGTTGGAGAGGAAAAAGCTCGGAAGCACTGTTCGGATCCCGCGTCTGCGTAGCCGTACTAGAGCCCCCGACCGTTTACCCCTTGGGCGGCGTTTCGCTGCTTGAGTAAAGCCTAGCGCGGCATTGACTAAAATGCCTACTAATTCTGCCGCTGGAAGCAGAAAAGTAGGAATTAAATCCACAGGAGTTGTTTCCCTGATATTTAAAAGTTCGTCTCTTGTTAGAGAACTCCGAAAATCTTGGCAAAACACTGAATTGACAGACAAAACAAGACAAAACAGGGCGCACTGACCGGCTGAGGCTATCATAATCGGCGCCATCTTCTCACCAGCACGGGTGTGCTGAACAGCAGGACTCTCTCACCAGCACTGGTGTGTTGAACAGTAGGCCCCTCTCACCAGCATGGGAGTGGTGAACAGCAGGCCCCTCTCACCAACACGGGTGTGATGAACAGCACGCCCCTCTCACCAGCACGGGTGTGATGAATAGTAGGCCTCTCTCACCAGCACGGGTGTGTTGAACAGCAGGTCCCTCTCACCAGCACGGGTGTGATAAACAGTAGGCCTCTCTCACCAGCACGGGTGTGTTGAACAGCAGGCCCCTCTCACCAGCACGGGTGTGTTGAACAGCAGGCCTCTCTCACCAGCACGGGTGTGTTGAACAGCAGGCCCCTCTCACCAACACGGGTGTGATGAACAGTAGCCCCCTCTCACCAGCACGGGTGTGTTGAACAGCAGGCCCCTCTCACCAACACGGGTGTGATGAACAGTAGGCCCCTCTCACCAGCACGGGTGTGTTGAACAGCAGGCCCCTCTCACCAGCACGGGTGTGCTGAACAGCAGGCCCCTCTCACCAGCACGGGTGTGATGAACAGCAGGCCCCTCTCACCAGCACGGGTGTGCTGAACAGCAGGCCTCTCTCACCAACACGGGTGTGTTGAACAGCAGGCCCCTCTCACCAGCACGGGTGTGATGAACAGCAGGCCCCTCTCACCAGCACGGGTGTGATGAACAGCAGGCCCCTCTCACCAGCACGGGTGTGTTGAACAGCAGGCCTCTCTCACCAACACTGGTGTGTTGAACAGCAGGCCTCTCTCACCAACACGAGTATGATGAACAGCAGGCCCCTCTCACCAACACGGGTGTGTTGGACAGCAGGCCCCTCTCAAGACAAAACTGGACACAACAGGGCGCACCAACCGGCCGAGGCTGCCATCATCGGCGCCATCTTCTCACCGCCACGTGCAGTAGCTACTACACTGCAGCAGCAGCATGTGTAGCAGCTGCTGCACTTGTAGCAGCTACTACACGTGCAGTAGCTACACATGTAGCTACACTCATTCATCTGCCGACGACACCGTCATATGTAGAGGAACGTAAAGCTTGGGGAGAATTTGACGCCGGCTTCCCCCGTGGCTGTTGTCTCCCTCGACCTCAAAAGGTGGCAACTCAATGTTGGGTCACGCAGAGAGCCAACATTTGTTGTCCTTTCCCCGCGGTTGGCCACGAAACGGGGCTGTGTAGCCCCAACCGGGTCTCATCCATCAGGATGTCCATCGCCTATTTCTAGATGAGCCGAGCTCTCTGCATCAGCTCGCTCGTGAACATCCCGTCCACGTGTCTCTGCGGCCCGAACAACAACAATAATAAAGACAAAGATCCCCTGTGAGCGAGCAGCAGCGCCTGGGAAGGCTGCCGGCACGGTGACACATGAGGGGGTTCACATCCCCCCAGTCAGGGCCGTCCATGGGGGGGGGGGTGGGGGTTGTGGGGGCCCCGAGGCAAACCCCGCTGTGCCCCCCACGATGACTTTAAACTAAACGGGAAGTTACAAAATGGGACATTTTTGCCAGTATCAAAAGGTCCCATTTGTGGAGCTGCTCACGCCAAGCTACAAATGCTCCGACACGTGTGGCATTGTCCTGGTACCGTTCGCCTTTTGGCGATGTTCTCTGGCCTAACACCGCTGGTGAGACTCGGCTATAGAGAAGGCTGCCGTCTCTAGTGTAGCTTCATCAGTCTCAAAGACGATGCCGTCTCTGGTGTAGGTTCATCAGTCTCAAAGACGATGCCGTATCTGGTGTAGGTTAATCAGTCTCAAAGACGATGCCGTCTCTGGTGTAGGTTCATCAGTCTCATCTGGTGTAGATTCATCAGTCTCAAAGACGATGCCGTATCTGGTGTAGGTTCATCAGTCTCAAAGACGATGCCGTATCTGGTGTAGGTTCATCAGTCTCAAAGACGATGCCATATCTGGTGTAGGTTCATCAGTCTCAAAGACGATGCCGTATCTATTATCACGGCATGGTTGTGTGCATGTTCACCGCAATTACCGTGCGGTGCTTCACGCTGTGACTCGATTCCTTGCCAAAGGTTTCTGTTTGGTGTTTGAACATCTTCACGCCACTCCTGCTGTTTTATTGGCTGAAAGGGTAAAAACGCCGATTCTTATTTTTTTTCTCAGTATTACATCCCCCAAAACGCGGGGCCCGGGGCAGTCTCCCCGGATATGCCGTGACGCCCGAGGAGGGCGGCTCTGACCGACCGCACGTCCGCACGAGTCCGTGTCCTCTCTCTTCCAGAGCGGGCAGATGCCTGGTGCCGTGGCGGCGGCGGTAGTGTGCAGCGTTGGCATCACGAATTATTTGATGACTCGTGAAGGAAAACATTGACCCGAGCACACAAACAGCACACACGTGGTATGCAAATGCATTTAATTGATTAAACAAATATATATACATTTGCAATTGGTAATCATTTATATGCGTAAAAAAAATGCTTTGTTAAAAACTAGACACGTCACACAAGTGTTTGTATAAAAATGCGATTATATATATTTTTATATATATAAAATACCCTGATGTTAGCACCCATTACACACACACACTTGCCCCCAAGTCTGTTAAGGCTACGTGTGTGTGTGTGCATGTTCAATTGTGGGGCGCGGAAGTGGATGTGAACGCCACGCTCCGGACCCGGCAACCCGGGTTCAACTCCCGCTCATAACCAGTGGCAGATATTCGAACCGGTCCTGAGTCTCCCCGAGGTCGACTCAGCCTTAAATGAGCACCTGGGTGTGCTGTGTAAAACATCAGCGCTTGGGGAGACAAAGGTGGCCGGGCGTGGTGTTGCTGGCCACCCCACCCCCTCGTGTGCCATTCTGGCCTTCATCAGTGCTCGCTAACAGCACTTGCCCCAAGAGATTGTTAAGGCTACACGGGGGATCTTTGTCTTTGGATATAGGTTCAATTACATGCAGAGGTATGATGTGAACGCAAAAATAAAAATATGTTGTTATAAAAATATAATATACGTGTCTAAAATGGCAACTGGCGAAAGTTAAAGCACAAACGGACGGCTACGTAGCGCGAGTGAGGTGTGGATGAGAGTTTGTGTGGCTTTGTGGGACAGAGGGTGCAGTTGGAGGGCTTTGTTTGAGGCGTTTAGAGCACATTCCCTGAACACGGTGAAGAAGACGGGCGCGCGAGTTCGACTCTGGCCCAGGACCGCGGTCAGAGCTCGCGTTGAGAGTTAAGGCGAATGTTGGAATGCACCACCGAGGGTCAGGGTCAGCGCTGGCAAGGGGATTGGGTCCAGGGTGGCTCCGCTTTGTTTGATACCACGGCCGGTCAGCGGAGCGCACGTCGCACCCACGTCGCGAGCACGGCGCCGGCGCCGGCTTCGTGGTTCTCACGGCGCGAGGGCAATCACGACGGGATGCGCCGCTTTGCGTCTCGCGGGCCCGGCGGCGTGCGGCAGGTTTCGCGGCAGAGGGCCCAGAGTAGCCACGTGGCGTTAACCCCACACCGAGTTATTTGTAGGCGGACGGTACGGACGGATGGGACGGGACGGGACGGGATGGATGGGACAGATGGACGGACGCGACGGGATGGATGGAACGGACGGACGGACGGACGTACGTAGAGCGAACGCTCCACCGCTCTCGGGCGAGAGGCACGAGCGCCGGCGTCGCCGGGGTGTTACGCGGCGGCGGCGGCAGCGGCGGCAGCGGCGGCGGCGGCGGCGGCGGTGGGCCCCGCGTCGTCGCCGTACACCACCGAGGGGCAAGCGTCGGGGCGCACGCAGGCGCCCAGGTGCTCGACGAGGCCGGCGGGGCACTGGCAGCCCGGCACGCACGGCTGCAGGCACGCCGCCTCCACCACGCCGAGCGGCACGTCGCGGTTGTAGCAGGTGCGTGGGCAGCGGGGGCCGCACTCGTCGAAGACGTAGCCACGCTCCGTCGGGCAGTCCACGGCTGGCGGGCGCCCGGGGTGAGACGGGACGCACGGGGAGACGCGCACACGAGACAGACAGGATAGACACACGCCGCATCACGTGGTGAAAGTGGAGGCGGGGGTTAGTAGCCGGTGTTGGAGGACGAAGAGGAGGGAGGGAAGAGGAGGGAGGGAGGGAGGGAGGGAAGGGTAAGTGGGGGGTAGGGGGTAGGAGGGTGGGGGGAGGAGGAGGGAGGGGGGTGCCGTGCTGGCATGGGGGGTACCCACCGCACAACGTGGCCGTGCGCCACTGCACGTGGACACCGGCGGCGTGGCAGCGAGCGGCGTACGCCTCCAGCACGTCGCACAGACACGTCTCGGGCGACGTCTCGGGCGACGTCGCCGGCCCGCCGCCGCCGCCGCCGCCGCCGCCGCCGAGCCCGGCGGCGCAGGCGCAGAGGTCGTAGACGCAGGCGGCGTAGAAGGCGGCGGGCGGCACGGCGGCCCGGCACGGGGCGAAGGCGCCGCCCGCCGCGCCCCGCAGGGCACGGCAGCGCGCGTTGGCCTCGCGGTGGGCGCGGTAGCCGGCGCGGCGGCACGGGTCCACGTCGTCCGCGTCCTCGCACGGCGCGGGGGAGCTGGGGTCGGGGTCGGTGACCTAAGGGCGGGTGGGGGAGAGTAAGGGAGGCAGGTGGCTGTGGCCATTATGAAGGAACTCGACACCACGGCGTGAGTCCAGGCTCTCATCGACACGGTCGCGGCCACCAGCACAGCCATCGCGAACTTCGCGAGAGAGGGCCCCCCCCCCACCTCCGACACCCGTTCACCCCACCCCCTCCGCTCCCCCCCCCCCCCCCCCACTCCTCCGCCCCCCCCCTCCGCACCTTCCAGCTGTTGCCGAAGTGCGCGTGCGAGGACGCGATGGCGTTGCTGGGCAGCCTCGTGTCGTCCTGCGCGATGCCGTTGAAGTTCCCGCACAGGCCGCATGTCCGCTCCTTGTAGGAGCCGGGCACGCTCACCTCCAGGTGGCTCTTGCCGTTCCACAGCACCTGCGGCGCGGAGACAAAACAACCAGGCCACCGTGCCAGGCTGGTGCGGGAGCGAGGCGAAAGCGACGGGGGCCGAACCGTCATCACCAAGGTGGCTAGGAGATGTCGACTACCTCGCCTGGTATGCAGGAAGTCGTGGGTTCGATCCCGACCCTGACGCCTGCTGCTGTATATTTGGAGGTTGTGTGCGTGTCTCTCTCTCTCCCCGTGGACGCGTGGATTTGTCTCCGGGTCCTCCGGTTTTTCCCTCCACATTTAGAGTCAACGTCCACGCCTCCCGGGCGAACTGAGCGCTGAACGAAACGGCGCTGTCTGTCGTAAATGCCAACGATTGTTCACCAACGGTAGCCCCCGTCAGCTCACCGGCCGCCGGGCGAAGGCCTCCCCTGGACCGCGGCCGTCACACGCGGTGCGGGGGCGGTGGGGGGAGGGGGTGCCGTGTTCTCGGCATAACTTCACCGGCGCGGCGACGCACCTTGAGGCCGATGTTGGTGTTGAGGAGGATGTGGTTCGCTTTCCTCTCCACGTACAGGTGCGGCTCCTTCAGGTACGGCAGCGTCACGGTCTCGCCTTTCACCTGCGCATGCATGCACGCACGCAGGCGAAGGTCCCCCGTGTAGCCTTAACGGAGCGTCGGGGCAAGTGCTGTTACGAAGGCCGGCACCGTGGCACGCGAGAGGGTGGGTGGCCAGCACCACGCCCGGCCGCCTTTGTCTCCCGAGTGGCGACGTTTACTACAACACCGTGGTGTTGGTGGTCGTGAGCAGGAACAAAACTCGTAGCACACACACAGGTACACACAGATTCACAGACACATGCACACAGATGCATATACAGGGTCACACACAGGTACACATAGATTCACAGACACATGCACACAGATGCATATACAGGGTCACACACACACAGGTACACACATATTCACAGACACATGCACACAGATGCATATACAGGGTCACACACACACACAGGTACACACAGATTCACAGACACATGCACACAGATGCATATACAGGGTCACACACACACAGGTACACACAGATTCACAGACACATGCACACAGATGCATATACAGGGTCACACACACACAGGTACACACAGATTCACAGACACATGCACACAGATGCATATACAGGGTCACACACACACAGGTACACACAGATTCACAGACACATGCACACAGATGCATATACAGGGTCACACACACACAGGTACACACAGATTCACAGACACATGCACACAGATGCATATACAGGGTCACACACACACAGGTACACACAGATTCACAGACACATGCACACAGATGCATATACAGGGTCACACACACACACAGGTACACACAGATTCACAGACACATGCACACAGATGCATATACAGGGTCACAAACACACAGGTACACACAGATTCACAGACACATGCACACAGATGCATATACAGGGTCACACACACACAGGTACACACAGATTCACAGACACATGCACACAGATGCATATACAGGGTCACACACACACAGGTACACACAGATTCACAGACACATGCACACAGATGCATATACAGGGTCACACACACACAGGTACACACAGATTCACAGACACATGCACACAGATGCATATACAGGGTCACACACACACAGGTACACATAGATTCACAGACACATGCACACAGATGCATATACAGGGTCACACACACACACAGGTACACACAGATTCACAGACACATGCACACAGATGCATATACAGGGTCACACACACACAGGTACACACAGATTCACAGACACATGCACACAGATGCATATACAGGGTCACACACACACAGGTACACACAGATTCACAGACACATGCACACAGATGCATATACAGGGTCACACACACAGGAGGAGAAGTGCGAGGGAGCGGGAGGGAGGGAGGGAGGGAGGGAGGGAGGGAGGGAGGGAGGGAGGGAGGGAGGGAGGGAGGGAGGGAGGGAGGGAGGGAGGGAGGGAGGGAGGGAGGGAGGGAGGGAGGGAGGGAGGGAGGGAGGGAGGGAGGGAGGCACTCTCACCTTGACCTCCCAGTCCTGCAACAGCCACACGTGTGCATCCCCGACACGCACCAGCACGTCGCGCGTCCACGACACGCCCTGCAGGCCACGGTTGTCGTTCGTCACCTGGATCCTGCAAGTTCGGCACACGTGTCGCTCCGTCATAGCGCGTCCGCTCTCTCGCCTGCCCGCTGTCTCTCTCGCCTACCCGCTGTCTCTCTCGCCTACCCGCTGTCTCTCTCGCCCACCCGCCCGCTCTCTCGCCCGCCCGCTGTCTCTCTCGCCCACTCGCCCACCTGCTCTCTCGCCCGCCCGCTCTCTCGCCCGCCCGCCCGCTCTCTCGCCCGCCCGCTGTCTCTCTCGCCCGCCCGCTGTCTCTCTCGCCCGCCCGCTCTCTCGCTCTCTCGCCCACTCGCTGTCTCTCTCACCTATCCACTCTCTCACCCACTAGTCCACCCGCCCGCTCTCTCGCCCGCTCTCTCGTCCGCCCGACCGCTCAACCCGCTCGCGCCGCGGCGCTCACGACGGATCCTGAACGCGTCGCGGCGCTCACGTGAAGTCGCGCGCGGCGCAGTCCTGCGCCAGCGTGTAGCTGCAGGAGCCCTGGAAGTGAACCGTGGCGCCGTCGAAGGTGCGGTAGTGCGGGTCACCAAACACCACGCACGTGGCCGGGCGGGGCAGGCAGCGGGGGCAGCACGCGCCGCCCGTCAGCGTCGGGATCTCGTCCTGCGCCATCGCACCACGGCGCGGATCGGTGGGGGTCACGTGTGCCACTGTGTGTGTGTACTGTGTGTATGTGTGTACTGTGTGTGTACTGCGTGTGTAGTGTGTGTGTACTGAGTGTGTGTGTACTGTGTGTGTGTGTACTGTGTGTGCCACTGTGTGTGTGTACTGTGTGTGTACTGTGTGTGTACTGCGTGTGCCACTGTGTGTGTACTGAGTGTGTGTGTACTGTGTGTGTACTGCGTGTGCCACTGTGTGTGTACTGCGTGTGCCACTGCGTGTGCCACTGTGTGTGTGTGTACTGCATGTGCCACTGTGTGTGTGTGCCACTGTGTGTGTACTGTGTGTGTACTGTGTGTGTGTGTACTGCGTCTGCACTGTGTGTGTGTACTGTGTGTACTGCGTGTGTGTACTGTGTGTGTATACTGTGTGTGTGTACTGTGTGTGTGTACTGTGTGTGTGTACTGAGTGTGTACTGTGTGTACTGTGTGTGTGTACTGTGTGTGTACTGCGTGTGTACTGTGTGTACTGTGTGTGTGTACTGCGTGTGTACTATGTGTGTGTACTGCGTGTGTACTGCGTCTGTGTACTGTGTGTGTACTGTGTATGTGCTCTGTGTGTACTGTGTGTGTGTACTGTGTGTGTGTACTGTGTGTGTACTGTGTATGTGCTGTGTGTGTATTGTGTGTGTGTACTGTGTGTGTGCTGTGTGTGTGCTGAGTGTGTGCTGTGTGTGTGCTGTGTGTGTGTACTGTGTGTGTACTGTGTATGTGCTCTGTGTGTACTGTGTGTGTGTACTGCCTGTGTACTGTGTGTGTGTGTGTACTGCGTGTGTGCTGTGTGTGTACTGTGTGTGTGTACTGTGTGTGTACTGCGTGTGTAGTGTGTGTGTCCTGTGTGTGTACTGTGTGCACTGTGTGTGTACTGTGTGTGTGTATTGTGTGTGTACTGCCTGTGTACCACGTGTGTGCTGTGTGTGTGTACTGTGTGTGTATTGTGTGTGTACTGCCTGTGTACTGCGTGTGTACTGTGTGTGTGTTGTGGGTGTACTGCCTGTGTACTGGGTGTGTGCTGTGTGTGTGTACTGTTGGGGTGCTCACGGAGGGGCAGTGCGGCGGGGCGCAGCGCTCCGTGCTGCAGTGCACGGAGCCACCCACGCAGACGCAGCGCGTACACTCGTCCACGGCCCAGCGCGCACCGGGGCCCAGCTCGCGGCCCGCGTACACGCACGGCACGCTCCGCTCTGCACGCTCGCCAGTTAGATCACTCACCCATTCAGTCACCAGGCTCGCGAGTGAGATCGTTCATTTACCCTCTCGCTCACCTGCTTGCTTTATCGGTTGGGGTCATAGTTCAACTCGCTTGCCCAATGTAAAATTCACTCGCACTCTTACCTACTCACACACTCAATCACCCACTTTTACTCGCTCACTCACCCAGCCACCCACTCACTCACTCACCACTCAGTTACCCACCCACTCACTCACCACTCAGTCAACCACCCACTCACTCACCACTCAGTCAACCACCCGCTCACTCACCACTCAGTCAACCACCCGCTCACTCACCCAGCCACCCACTCACTCACTCACCACTCAGTTACCCACCCACTCACTCACCACTCAGTCAACCACCCACTCACTCACCACTCAGTCAACCACCCGCTCACTCACCACTCAGTCAACCACCCGCTCACTCACTCATCCGCCCGCCCACCCATTTACTCACCAGGCCACGCACCCACTCACTCACCACTCGGTCACCCACCTACTCACTCACCACTCACTCACCCACCCACTCACTCCCACACTCACCTCGGCATTCGGGGCAGCACACCCCAGGAAGAATTTCGAGCTCCATTCCCATCCCACAATGCACCGGGGCACATTCTTCGATGGTGCATTCTACGTGTCCAAGCTAACACAAAAGACAAAGACAAAGATGACAGACAGTTGAGGTAAGTGCTGTTAGCGAGCACCTATGAAGGCTGGCACGGTACACGAGGGGCTGGGTGGCCAGCACCACGCCCGGCCGCCTTTGTCTCCCCAGTGGCGATGTTTACTCCACACCGCACCAGGTACTCATTTGAGGCTGAGTCGATCTAGGAAAAGCCCAGGACCGGTTCGGATAATCGTCACTGCTTTCGGTAGCCGTGAGCGGAAATCGAACTCGGGTTGCTTAGCTCAATTCAACATTTGCCCAACGTTGGCCCAACGTTCGCTCAACGTTCGCCCAACGTTCGCCCAACGTTCGCCCAGCGTTCGCCCAGCGTTCGCCCAGCGTTCGCCCAACGTTCGCTCAACGTTCGCACAACGTTCGCCCAACGTTCGCCCAACGTTCGCCCAGCGTTCGCCCAGCGTTCGCCCAGCGTTCGCCCAACGTTCGCCCAACGTTCGCACAACGTTTTCCCACCGCCGCCGCCGCCGCCGCCACCACCGAACGCGACGATGGCCGCGACCGACCGCTACTCGGCGGGGAGCGGAGAGCGACCGCCGGCTCTGACGGCGCGACAAGCCCCGGGGCGGCTAACCGAGCGCGAGTGGCGTCACTTGGCTACACGTGAACGTGCGAAGGTCGAACCGAGATCAGTGTCGTTGGACCCAGCCGGTGATACTTGTGTCTTTCGGCAACGCCGAATGACCAATTTAATGTTGCGCCCCGCTAGAGCGTTGTGACCCCATTTGGGGGCGACTAGGCCCAGAGGATGACCCGTCTACGATTGCACTGGCCGTTAGCTAAGCTTGATTTGACGTTTAACACGCGGTAGTTGTAGTAGTAGTAAAGGTTGTCGCGACCAATATTATCCACAGTGGAAGAGGTTTTGTTGGGTTAGATCGCGAACATGCAAACACGTCGTTAAACCCGCCGCCACCCGATGCAATCAATCAGTAAAGGTTTGTCACGTGAACAAAACGCGCCGATTAGTTACTAGTTCAGCACTAACCCAGGTTGTGTGTTGGAGATTAAAATTGTAAATGTTGTGGGTTTACTCTCCAACACACCGATCTGCTACGTGACAAACCCTTACTCTTGATTTAAAGCTTTCGTGACTGCAGGGATTCATATTCTTGGTTCTTTCGGTAAAGTCACGTAGAAGGGAAACAATAAAATAAAATAAAAATATAAAACAATAAAATTCTCACGACGTTTCGACTGCAACACAAGCAATCATGATGATTGCTTGTGTTGCAGTCGAAACGTCCCTTCTACGTGACTTTACCGAGAGAACCAAGAATATAAACCCTCACTCATTGGCTGTATTGGGTGACGGCGGGTTTAACGACACATTTATATTCACTGACCCAACAAAAAAATCTGTTATGGATAACTTCATTGAAGACAAGCGGATAAAATAAAATAAAGCCGCTAGCTACACGAACATTGCTGGAGAGGTCACGCTATAAATGTTCACGGCGATGATAACGATGATGATGATGATGATTAGCCACTCCGTTGAGCGATCATTTGTGGTGGCCAGGTCGCTTCTGAAAGACGAAGCTAATAGCTCAGTGGGGCATTAAAAAATAATTCTAATTTCCTGAGCGATTTGCTTACCTTGGCAATCCATTGCCCTCCTATCGTGTTTGTGTCATTGTTGTTGTTGTCACGTTTTGACCCCGTGCCCCCTACTGGACTTCTGTTAAAAGATTAAAGAGCTTCATAGCTCATCGGATTCCTCCTGAAGCATATATAAATATTCTGATTCTGCTATTGCAATGAATGAAAACAATAAAGTATTTGTAACAAAGGGATGAGTGAGTGAGCGAGCGAGCGGCTACCGAGCAGATGCAGGTGATGCAGCTGTTTGCTCCGTCGAGGAAAGTCCCTCCGTCGGGTATGCGTCGATCCTCGATCACGCAATCTACGTCACGTGGTCGAGAGACAAAGATCCCCCGTGTAGCCTTCGCAGACTGCTGGGGGCAAGTGCTGTTCGCGAGTGGCACCCCATACACACCCCCCACACCCCATACACCCCCCCCCAACACACTCAATACACCCCATATACCCCATACACACCCAACACACACCCCACACACCCCACACACACCAGACACCCCACACACACCATACACACCATACACCCCATACACACCCCATACACACCAGACACACCAGACACCCACACACACCATACACACCAGATACCCCACACACACCATACACACCATACACCCCATACACACCCCACACACCCCATACACACCCCCCTCCAACACACCCCACACACCCCACACACCACACACACCACACACACCACACTCCCTACACACCATACACCCCACACACCCCACACACCATACACCCCACACACCCCACACACCCCACACACCCCACACACACCCCACACCATACACCCCACACACCCCCCACACACCCCACACTCCCCACACACACCCCACACCATACACCCCACACACCCCCCACACACCCCACACACCCCACACACACCCCACACCATACACCCCACACACCCCCCACACACCCCACACTCCCCACACACTCCACACACTCCACACACGCCCACACACACCGACACATCCAACACACACCACACACCCCACACACACCCCACACACTCCACACATCCCACACACCCCACACTCCCCACACACCACACACACCACACTCCCCACACACCACACTCCCCACACACCCCACACACCCCACACACACCCCACACACCCCACACACCCCACACACACCCCACACACCCACACACACCCCACACACCCTACACACACCATACACCCCACACACACCCACACACACCCCACATACCACACCCCCACACACACGCCACACCCCACACACCCCACACACCCCACACACACCACACACACCCACACACCCCCCACACCCCACACACCCCACACCCCACACACCCCACACACACACCATACACCCCACACCCCACACACACCCACACACACCCCACACCCCACACACCCCCCCACACACCCCACACCCCACACACCCCACACACACCCCACACACACACCATACACCCCACACACCCCACACACACCATACACCCCACACCCCACACACCCCACACACCATACACCCCACACACCCCACACACCCCACACACACCCCACACACCCCACACACACCCCACACACCCCACACACCCCACACACACCCCACACACCCACACACACCCCACACACCCTACACACACCATACACCCCACACACACCCACACACACCCCACATACCACACCCCCACACACACGCCACACCCCACACACCCCACACACCCCACACACACCACACACACCCACACACACCCCACACCCCACACACCCCACACCCCACACACCCCACACACACCCCATACACCCCACACCCCACACACACCCACACACACCCCACACCCCACACACCCCCACACACACCCCACACCCCACACACCCCACACACACCCCACACACACACCATACACCCCACACACCCCACACACACCATACACCCCACACCCCACACACCATACACCCCACACACCCCACACACCCCACACACACCCCACACACCCCACACACACCACACACACACCCACACACACCCCACACCCCACACACACACCATACACCCCACACACCCCACACACCCCACACACACCATACACCCCACACCCCACACACCCCACACACCCCACACACCATACACCCCACACCCCACACACACCACACACCCCACACACACCACACACACCCCACACCCCACACACACCACACACCTCACACACCCCACACACCCCACACACCTCACACACCCCACACACCCCACACCCCACACACCTCACACCCCACACACCCCACACACCACACACACCCCACACACACACCCCACACACCCCACACACACCCCACACACCCCACACACACCCCACACACCCCACACCCACTCACCCCACACCCCACACCCCACACACCCCACACACCACACACACCCCACACACACACCCCACACACCCCACACACACCCCACACACCCCACACACCACACACACCCCAAACACACTCACACACACCCACACACACCCCACACCCCACATACCCCACACACACACCATACACCCCACACACCCCACACCCCACACACCCCACACACCCCACACCCCACACACCCCACACACCCCACACACCCCACACACCCCCCCACAGACACCTTCGCAGATGGGGCAGCACGACTCAGGTGGGGTGAACTGCTCCACCAGGGGGCAGCTCAGGGTGGGGCACAGCTGGCGAACGCACACCCACGTGAACTCCTGCAAAGACAAAGACCCCCCCCCCCCCGTATAGCCTTCACAGACTGCTGGGGCAAGTGCAGGCACCCACGCACACCCCACATAGGGCAGCACCAGGTTTGGCCACATCACCAGATTTGGCCACATCACCAGATTTGGCCACATCACCAGATTTGGCCACATCACCAGATTTGGCCACATCACCAAGTTTGGCCACATCACCAAGTTTAGCCACATCACCAAGTTTGGCCACATCACCAGATTTGGCCATATCACCAAGTTTGACCACATCACCAGATTTGGCCACATCACCAAATTTGGCCACATCACCAGATTTGGCCACATAACCAGATTTGGCCACATCACCAAGTTTGGCCACATCACCAGATTTGGCCACATCACCAAGTTTGGCCACATCACCAGATTTGGCCACATCACCAGATTTGGCCACATCACCAGATTTGGCCACATCACCAAGTTTGGCCACATCACCAAGTTTAGCCACATCACCAAGTTTGGCCACATCACCAGATTTGGCCATATCACCAAGTTTGACCACATCACCAGATTTGGCCACATCACCAAATTTGGCCACATCACCAGATTTGGCCACATAACCAGATTTGGCCACATCACCAAGTTTGGCCACATCACCAGATTTGGCCACATCACCAAGTTTGGCCACATCACCAGATTTGGCCACATCACCAGATTTGGCCACATCACCAAGTTTGGCCACATCACAAGATTTGGCCACATCACCGTGCGTGTGTGTGTGTGTTTACACTGCGTCTGTGTGTACACTGTTCGTGTGTGTGTGCACTGTGCGTGCGTGTGTACACTGTGTGTGTATACCGTGTGTACACACACACAGTGTACACTCACAGTCTACACACACACAGTGTACACACGCAGAGTGTACGCACACACACAATGTACACACACACAATGTACACACACAGTGTACACATACACACAATGTACACACACACAGTGCACATGCACACAATGTACACACACAGTGTACACACACACAATGTACACACAAACAGTGTACACACACAATGTACACACACACAAACACACAATGTACACACACAGTGTACACACACACAATGTACACACACAGTGTACACATACACACAATGTACACACACACAGTGTACACACACACACAGACAATCCACACACACACAGTGTACACACACAGTGTACACACACACAATGTACACACACACAGTGTACACACACAGTGTACACACACAATGTACACACACACAATGTACACACACAGTGTACACACACAATGTACACACACAGTGTACACACACAGTGTACACACACAGTGTACACACACAGACACACACAGTGTACACACACACACAATGTACACACACACAATGTACACACACACAGTGTACACACACAGTGTGCACACACACAGTGTACACACACACACAGTGTACACACACACAGTGTACACGCACACAATGTACACACACAGTGTGCACACACACAGTGTACACGCACACAATGTACATACACAAAGTGTACACACACAGTGTACACACACACAGTGTACACACACACACAGTGTACACACGCACACATACACAGTGTACACACACAGTGTACACACACACAGTGTACACCAACAGTGTGCACACACACAGTGTGCACACACACAGTGTACACACACACACACAATGTACACACACACACAATGTACACACACAGTGTACACACAGTGTGCACACACATACACAATGTACACCCACACACAATGTACACACACACACAGTGTACACACACAATGTACACACACACAATGTACACACACACACAGTGTACACACACAATGTACACACACACAGTGTACACACACACACAGTGTACACACACACAGTGTACACACACACAGTGTATATACACACACACAGTGTACACACACACACACAGTGTACACACACACAGTGTACACACACACAGTGTATATACACACACACAGTGTACACACACACACAGTTTACACACACACACACAGTGTGTACACACAGTGTGTACACACGGTCGACCGCGGCAGGTGACGCTTGATGAGTAGCGGCGGCCGCAGACGTAGTGTGGAGGTGTCATACTGGACGTGGTGTGCCGTGTGCGGGCAGGCAGACTCACCTGGCACTCGCACACGTAGCAGGGGTCCTCGCTGGCGTACACCTGGCGCCCGCTCACCGACAACGAGCAGTTGCCCAGAGCCGCTGGCATCAAAAGACAAAGACAAAGATCCACCCCCCAGTATTATAGCCTTCACCGGGCTGTAGGGGCAAGTGCTGTTAAGCGAGTGGCGTCTATGAAGGCCGGCACGGCACACGTGGAGGGCTGGTGGCCAGCACCACGCCAGGTCACCTTCGTCTCCCCGCTGGCAATGATTTAACACACCACGCCAGGTACTCATTTGAGGTTGAGTCGACTTGGGGGAGGAGGCCCAGGACCGGTACAAATGAATCGTCACCGGTGCTGGCCATGAGCCGGAATCGAACTCGGGTCGCCGGGTTCGTAGCGCTGGGCGCTAACCGCTACACCACCGCCGCTGGCATCACCCGCGCACAACAGATACAGTGAGGAAAAAAAGTATTTGATCCCCTGCTGATTTTGTACGTTTGCCCACTGACAACGAAATGATCAGTCTATAAGTTTAATGGTAGGTTTATTTGAACAGTGAGAGACAGAATAACAACAAAAATCCAGAAAAACGCATGTCAAAAATGTTATAAATTGATTTGCATTTTAATGAGGGAAATAAGTATTTGACCCCCTCTCAATCAGAAAGATGTCTGGCTCCCAGGTGTCTTTTATACAGGTAACGAGCTGAGATTAGGAGCACACGTTTAAAGGGAGTGCTCCTAATCCCAGCTTGTTACCTGTATAAAAGACACCTGTTCACAGATGCAATCAATCAATCAGATTCCAAACACTCCACCATGGCGAAGACCAAAGAGCTCTCCAAGGATGTCAGGGACAAGATTGTAGACCTACACAAGGCTGAAATGGGCTACAAGACCATTACCAAGCAGCTTGGTGAGAAGGTGACAACAGTTGGTGCGATTATTCGCAAATGGAAGAAACACAAAAGAACTGTCAATCTCCCTCGGCCTGGGGCTCCATGCAAGATCTCACCTCGTAGAGTTGCAATGATCATGAGAACGGTGAGGAATCAGCCCAGAACTACACGGGAGGATCTTGCCAATGATCTCAAGGCAGCTGGGACCATAGTCAACTAAGAAAACCATTGGTAACACACTACGCCATGAAGGACTGAAATCCTGCAGCGCCGGCAAGGTCCCCCTGCTCAAGAAAGCACATATACATGCCCGTCTGAAGTTTACCAATGAACATCTGAATGATTCAGAGGACAACTGGGTGAAAGTGGTGTGGTCAGATGAGACCAAAATGGAGCACTTTGGCATCAACTCAACTCGCCGTGTTTGGAGGAGGAGGAATGCTGCCTATGACCCCAAGAACACCATCCCCACCGTCAAACATGGAGGTGGAAACATTATGCTTTGGGGGTGTTTTTCTGCTAAGGGGACAGGACAACTTCACCGCATCAAAGGGACGATGGACGGGGCCATGTACCGTCAAATCTTGGGTGAGAACCTCCTTCCCTCAGCCAGGGCATTGAAAATGGGTCGTGGATGGGTATTCCAGCATGACAATAACCCAAAACACACGGCCAAGGCAACAAAGGAGTATCTCAAGAAGAAGCACATTAAGGTCCTGGAGTGGCCTAGCCAGTCTCCAGACCTTAATCCCATAGAAAATCTGTGGAGGGAGCTGAAGGTTCGAGTTGCCAAACGTCAACCTCGAAACCTTAATGACTTGGAGAAGGTCTGCAAAGATGAGTGGGACAAAATCCCTCCTGAGATGTGTGCAAACCTGGTGGCCAACTACAAGAAACGTCTGACCTCTGTGGTTGCCAACAAGGGTTTTGCCACCAAGTACTAAGTCATGTTTTGCAGAGGGGTCAAATACTTATTTCCCTCATTAAAATGCAAATCAATGTATAACATTTTTGACATGCGTTTTTCTGGAATTTTTGTTGTTATTCTGTCTCTCACTGTTCAAATAAACCTACCATTAAAATTATAGACTGATCATTTCTTTGTCAGTGGGCAAACGTACAAAATCAGCAGGGGATCAAATATTGATTTCCCTCACTGTAAAGGTCCCCCGTGTAGCCTTAACGGACTGTTGGCACGTGATGGGGTGGTGATGTTGCCGTCACCACACCACCGTCTGTCCACCTTTGTCCTGCCAGCGGCGATGCCTGCACACTGCACCAGGTTCTCATTTGAGGCTGAGTCGACCTAGGGGGAGGGCCCAAGACCGGTTCAGATGTTACCCCACCGACGATGGGCCGTGAGCGGGAATCGAACCCGGGTTGCCGGGTTCGTAGCGTGGCGCGCTGACCGTTGCACTACCGCTCCCCACCTACACACGCACGCACGTACCCACGTACATGCACACACGCACGCACACACGTACGTGCACGCACCTGTGCAGGTGGGGCAGCAGCTGCCCGGTAGGGGAGGCTGCACGCTGGCTTGGGGGCAGTCCACGAGGCTCGGGCACATCCTGCGCTCACAGTGCAGCACGTGCTCGCCGCTCGACAGCTCCTGCACGCACACACACAGTACACACACACAGTGTACACACACAGTGTACACACACACAGTGTACACACACACAGTGCACACACACACAGTGTACACACACACACAGTGCACACACACACACAGTGCACACACACAGTGTACACACACACAGAGTGCACGCACACACACACACAGTGTACACACACACAGTGTACACATACACAGTACACACACACACAGTGTACACACACACACAGTGTACACACACAGTGTACACACACACAGTGCACACACACACACAGTGTGCACGCACACACACAGAGTGCACACACACAGAGTGCACACACACACACAGTGCACACACACAGAGTGCCCACACACAGAGTTCACACACACACAGTGCACACACACACAGTGTGCACACACAGTGCACACACACACAGTGCACACACACACAGTGCACACACACACAGAGTGCACACACACCCACACAGTGCACACACACAGAGTGCCCACACACAGAGTGCACACACACACAGAGTGCACACACACACAGTGTACACACACAGAGTGCACACACAGTGTGCACACACACACAGTGAACACACACACAGAGTGCACACACAGTGTGCACACACACACAGTGAACACACACACACAGAGTGTACACACACACAGAGTGCACACACAGTGTACACACACACACAGAGTGCACACACACACAGAGTGCACACACACCCACACAGTGCACACACACAGAGTGCCCACACACAGAGTGCACACACACAGAGTGCACACACACACAGTGTACACACACAGAGTGCACACACAGTGTGCACACACACACAGTGAACACACACACAGAGTGCACACACAGTGTGCACACACACACAGTGAACACACACACACAGAGTGTACACACACACAGAGTGCACACACAGTGTACACACACACACAGAGTGCACACACACACAGAGTGCACACACACGCAGAGTGCACACACAGAGTGCACACACACAGAGTGCACACACATACTGTGTACACACACATACTGTGTACACACACAGAGTGCAGTGTCCACGCTACCTCGCAGAAGCAGATCTCACAGGGGTCGCCTGACGGCTGGAACGAGTGTCCTGGTTTGTGGGTTACACTGCCGTGTACACAGCCTGCACGCGCAGTGAACACACACACACCCAGTGTACACACACACAGTGAACACACACACAGTGTACACACACACAGTGTACACACAGTGAACACACACACACAGTGAACACACACACGTGCAGTGTACACACACACACAGTGTACACACACAGTATATACACAGTGTACACACACAGTATACACACAGTGAACACACACACACAGTGAACACATACACACAGTGTACACACACAGTGCACACACACAGTGAACACACCCACACAGTGTACACACACAGTGAACACACCCACACAGTGTACACACACAGTGTATACACACAGTGTACACACACACACACACAGTGTATAGACAGTATACACACAGTGAACACACACACACAGTGAACACACAGTGAACACACACACACAGTGAACACACACAGTGTACACACACAGTGAACACACACACACAGTGTATACACATACGCAGTGTACACACACATAGGGCACCCATACACAGTGTGCACGCAGCGCCCTTGAGTGACCGTGCGTCAGTGTGCGTGTACGCACGTAGGCCCGTGTTGACATACACGTGTGTACAGTACAGCTGCGTGCGTGTATCTTCGTCTTTGTATCTGCATGCGTGTATCTGTGTGTGTGCGTGTATCGGCTCCAGTTTAACAGCAGAGGTCTCACTCCGAATCAGTCGAGCGGCAATATCTTTTCATCGGTTGTGTAACACTGTGTGGAAGCTACCTGGTCTGTCGCTCCGCACTAAGCTTCAGGTCTTCTCGGCCACGGTCATTCCCTCCCTTCTCTATGCTTGCGAAACGTGGACCGCCCTAATGGAACATCTTCGCCGGTTAGAAACATTTAGGCTGGCCTGCCTACGATCCATCTTGGGTTTAACCAGACTGGATTGTGTGAGGAGCTCACAAATCCTTGAAAGATCTGGGCAAGGTCCCATCGGTGAGCTCCTCCGGCGGGCAAGGCTGCGATGGCTGGGTCATGTAGCCCGCATGCCCAGCCACCGCATGCCGAAACAGCTTTTGTTCGACCGGATCGAGGGGGCTAAGCTGGCACGGCACGGGCTAGAGAAGAGATGGAGTGATGTGGTACAGGAGGACGTGGAGCTGAGTGGACTTGCCGATGACTGGTACCAGCGGTGTCAAGATCGGCCTCTGTGGAGGACGCTCGTGAAGGACGCTACTGGGCAGTTGGAGGTAGTCGCCCTCCAACAACAACGGAGGGCGGAGGAGCGACGCTCACAACAACGAGCGGAGCGCCGGGTGGCTAAAGCACAGCAGGTTGGCACAGTAGGGGGCACAGGTGGTGCATCAGCCAGTCATCTCAGTCAGTCGACCCATGGCACCTGGGTCTGCCCCGTGACGTCCTGCCAGCGGGCGTTCGACACTCCACGTGGCCTCAAGGTGCACATGTCCTGGCACAAGCGTCGTGGTGACGTCACCGCCACTTAGTGGCGAATGGCGGTTGTTGTATCTGCGTGTGTGTGCGTGTATCTGCGTGTGTGCCTGTATCTGCATGTGTGCGTGTATCTGCGTGCGTGTATCTGCGTGTGTGCGTGTATCTGCGTGTATCTGCGTGCGTGTATCTGCATGTGCGTGAGTGTATCTGCGTGTATCTGCGTGTATCTGCGTGCGTGTATCTGCGTGTGTGTGCGTGTATCTGCGTGTATCTGCGTGCGTGTATCTGCGTGCGTGTATCTGCGTGCGTGTATCTGCGTGCGTGTATCTGCGTGTGTGTGCGTGTATCTGCGTGTGCGTGCGTGTATCTGCGTGTGTGTATCTGCGTGCGTGTATCTGCGTGCGTGTATCCGCGCGCGTGTATCTGCGTGCGCGCGTGTATCTGTGTGCGTGTATCTGTGTGTGTGTGCGTGTATCTGCGTGCGTGTATCTGCGTGTGTGCGTGTATCTGCGTGCGTGTATCTGTGTGTGTGCGTGTATCGGCTCCAGTTTAACAGCAGAGGTCTCACTCCGAATCAGTCGAGCGGCAATATCTTTTCATCGGTTGTGTAACACTGTGTGGAAGCTACCTGGTCTGTCGCTCCGCACTAAGCTTCAGGTCTTCTCGGCCACGGTCATTCCCTCCCTTCTCTATGCTTGCGAAACGTGGACCGCCCTAATGGAACATCTTCGCCGGTTAGAAACATTTAGGCTGGCCTGCCTACGATCCATCTTGGGTTTAACCAGACTGGATTGTGTGAGGAGCTCACAAATCCTTGAAAGATCTGGGCAAGGTCCCATCGGTGAGCTCCTCCGGCGGGCAAGGCTGCGATGGCTGGGTCATGTAGCCCGCATGCCCAGCCACCGCATGCCGAAACAGCTTTTGTTCGACCGGATCGAGGGGGCTAAGCTGGCACGGCACGGGCTAGAGAAGAGATGGAGTGATGTGGTACAGGAGGACGTGGAGCTGAGTGGACTTGCCGATGACTGGTACCAGCGGTGTCAAGATCGGCCTCTGTGGAGGACGCTCGTGAAGGACGCTACTGGGCAGTTGGAGGTAGTCGCCCTCCAACAACAACGGAGGGCGGAGGAGCGACGCTCACAACAACGAGCGGAGCGCCGGGTGGCTAAAGCACAGCAGGTTGGCACAGTAGGGGGCACAGGTGGTGCATCAGCCAGTCATCTCAGTCAGTCGACCCATGGCACCTGGGTCTGCCCCGTGACGTCCTGCCAGCGGGCGTTCGACACTCCACGTGGCCTCAAGGTGCACATGTCCTGGCACAAGCGTCGTGGTGACGTCACCGCCACTTAGTGGCGAATGGCGGTTGTTGTATCTGCGTGTGTGTGCGTGTATCTGCGTGTGTGCCTGTATCTGCATGTGTGCGTGTATCTGCGTGCGTGTATCTGCGTGTGTGCGTGTATCTGCGTGTATCTGCGTGCGTGTATCTGCATGTGCGTGAGTGTATCTGCGTGTATCTGCGTGTATCTGCGTGCGTGTATCTGCGTGTGTGTGCGTGTATCTGCGTGTGTGCGTGTATCTGCGTGTATCTGCGTGCGTGTATCTGCGTGCGTGTATCTGCGTGCGTGTATCTGCGTGCGTGTATCTGCGTGCGTGTATCTGCGTGTGTGTGCGTGTATCTGCGTGTGCGTGCGTGTATCTGCGTGCGTGTATCTGCGTGCATGTATCTGCGTGCGTGTATCTGCGTGCGTGTATCTGCGTGTGTGTGCGTGTATTTGCGTGTGTGCGTGTATCTGCGTGCGTGCGTGCCCACCGGAGCACCGCGGGCAGCACCGCCCGTCGCCGGGGTCGGAGGTCGGCGGCGCGCAGGGCGACACGGCGACGCAGAGCGGCGCGGAGCACGTGACGACGCCCGAGTCGCAGGCGCAGGAGAGGCACGGCCGCGCCGCGGGCACCCACGCGGAGCCCTCCTCGTGCACCTGCCCCTCGTACACGCAGCCTGCCCACAGAGGGAAAGGTCCCCCCCCGGGCGGCCTTCAGCGGGGGGCCGCTGTCGGGGCGAGTGCTGTCGGCGAGCGGGCGCCTGCTCCGGCGTCGGCACGGGAACGCGCCCGACGGCCGCCCGCGCCTCCCCCGGGCCGGGTTCTTATTTAAGGCCGAGTCGACCTGGGGGAGCCCCGTGACCGGCTCGGATATTCGTCACTGGCGTTGGCCGTGAGCGGGGATCGTTTCGCTGGGGTCGTAGCGCAGCGTGCTAAGCACGATGCTGCCACCCCCCGACAGGGCCTTTGACTCGCACGCGCACGGAGCGTGGACACTCACAGTGTGTGGGCGAGCGAGCGAGTGAATGACGGATAATAATAATAATGACGATGCAAATTTTTTAACGCGCGAAAAAATTTGCGGACGGAACGGCCGCAACTCAGAGGACGCGGAGCCAAGCTCAGAGTCAGTCGAAAGTCAGGTCGCAGAGGTGAGTTATTAAGCGTCTCTTGAAGGAGACGATGGAGGCGACACTGCGAATGTGCGGAGGGGATGGACGGCGTTCCAGACTGTGGGGGCAGCCACCGATAAGCGGCGCGTGGCCGTGACCGTCCTGGATCTTGGCGTCGAGAGGAGGGCCGTGAGTACGCACTGCGAAGGCATCTGAGCGAGCGCGCGAGTGGGTGAGTTGGCGAGCGGCTCTGTGAACCATTGAGCAAGAGAGCGAGCGGTCTGAGCGAGTGCACGGATGCGTGGCTGAGTTTGAGTGAATGAGAGATTGAGCGAGTGAACCAGGAGCTGGCGAGCGACTGGTGGTGAATGAGTGAGCGAGCAGCTGAGTAGTGAGTGAGTGGACACACCTTGGCACTGTGGGCAGCATTCCCCCGGAACCGTGAACTGATGGACGCAGCGGAGAGGAGGACACGGATTTGCTGTGCACTGCACACTCCCTGCCTGTACACACACACACAAGATAAAGATGTCCTGTGTAGCCTCCAACAGACTGTCGGGGCAAGTGTTGTTAGTGAGCAGCACCTACGAAGGCTGGCACGGCACACGAGGGGGTGGGTTGCCACTACCACGGTGGCGTGGCTTTAACTACCTCGCCCGGTGTACAGGAGGTCGTGGGTTCAATTCCGACAATGACGCCTGCTGTATATTTGGAGTTTGCGTCTCTCATCATCATCATCACGGTGGCTATGAGATGTTAACTACCTCGCCTGGTATGAAGGAGGTCATGGGTTCAATCCCGACCATGACGCCTGCTGTATATTTGGAGTTTGCGTCTCTCATCATCATCATCATCAGGGTGGCTAGGAGATGTTAACTACCTCGCCTGGTATACAGGAGGTCAGGGGTTCAATCCCAACCATGATGCCTGTTGTATATTTGAAGTTTGCGTGTTCTCCCTTGGTCGAGTGGATTTTTCTCCGAGACCTATGTCTTTTCCCTCCACATTTAGAATCAACGACACCACGCGTTTATTTGGCTGCTATAAATTCCCACGCGATGAGCCACTTCGTTGGGCTGCCATTTGTGGCCAGGTCGCTTCTGATAAAGAGCCACACAGCTCAGTGGGCCTTACCTGGAAAAACAATAACAAAAATAGTTCATAGTTTTAATGCCCGGCCGCCTTTGTCTCCCTCGTGGCAATGTTTGCACACCGCACCAAGTACACATTTGAGGCTGAGTCAACCTAGGTGAGGCCCCGGAATGATTAAACAAACGCAGTCAATGACACCGCAGCGAGTTGGCACAGTGGGCAGTGCAGGAGGTGGTGCATCTGCCAGCCAACTCGGTCAACCCGTGGCACCTGCTGGGTCTGTCCCGTGACCTCCTGCCAGCAGCGAGCCCTCCACACTTCACGTGGCCTCAGAGTGCACCTAGCCTGGCACAAGTGCCCTGGTGACGTCACTGCCACTTAGGGGAAATTGGCGGCTGTTGTTGTATTGCTAAGCGGGCATGTGTGTTTGTGTGTGTGTGGATTTACGTGTTTGTGTGTGTGTGGATTTACGTGTTTGTGTGTGTGTGGATTTACGTGTGTGTTTGTGTGTGTGGATTTACGTATGTTTGTGTGTGTGTGGATTTACATGTGTTTGTGTGTGTGGATTTATGTGTTTGTGTGTGTGTGGATTTACGTGTGTGGGTGTGTGTGTGTACGTGTGTGTCTACATGTGTGGGTGTGTGCGTGTGTACGTGTGTGTACGTGTGTGTGTGTACGTGTGTGTGTACGTGTGGGTGTGTGTGTGTGTGGGGAGTGGTAATATATAGTGATCAGCGCACTGCACTACAAACCGGGCGGGCCTGAGTTCGATACCTACTCACTAGCAACAACAGTGGCAAATTATAATTGAACCGGTCCTGGGCTTCCCCTAAGTTGACCCAGCCTTAAACGAGTACCTGGCATGGTGTGTAAAAAAAACTTCAGCACTGGGCGTGGTGCTCGCCACACCGCCCCATCGTGTGCCGTGATAGCCTGTATAGGTGCTCCAAGCTACCAGCACTTGTCCAAGCGGTAAATCGAAGGCTATACGGGGGATCTGTCTTTGCGTGTGTGTGTTGCGTGCGGCAGTGCAGCGGTGGTGTAGCGGTTAGCGCTACGCTGCGCTATGAACCTGGCGACTCGAGTTCGATTCCCGCTCACGGCCAACGCCGGTGACGATTATCTGAACCGGCCCTGGGCTTTCCCTAGGTCTACTCAGCCTCAAATGAGTACCCGGTGCGGTGTGTAAACATTGCCACTAGGGAGACAAAGGCGGTCGGGCGTGGTGCTGGCCACCCACCCCCTCGTGTGCCGTGCCGGCCTTCATAGGTGCTCGCTAACAGCACTTGCCCCTACAGTCTGTTAAGGCTATATGGGGGATATTTGTCTTTTGTGTGTCTGTGCGAGTGCCTGGCAGGTGCAGGTGGTGCAGGCGTCTGGCTGGATGGTTTCTCTGTCCGCGAGCGAGCGGCCTTCGTGCAGACAGTCGCTGCACTCCCCCAGCTCGCAAAGCACGCGCCCCACCTGCACATCACCAACATCACCAGCATCAGCATCGCCGTCACCACCATCAACGTCGCCTTCACCATGCTCAACATCATCTTGTTCGTGTTTTTGTTTGTTGCAGTCGCACCCGATTCAAGAGCCGAATGGCTCACAGGGCTATCCCAAATAAATGAAACTCAATCACCGCCATCTTCATCACCATCACCATCCTCAACATCACCATCGACACCAACGCTATTAAAATGAAACTGGCCCAAACATGCCAAGCGTAAGTCTTCTCAGTGGCCACCGGGCAAAGAGTCAGTAGGCCTCGCTGGTCTACGTAAGAGGAGTCTAGAATCTACTGAACGGGGTTGCATTTGTCACTGAATAACTTCTGGCTCGCTGGCACGAGACCAGCAGTTTGGTACGGCCACAGCCACGGCCACATCGAGACGCAGCGAGAGTAACAGCCACGGGGCGCACACGGTGACTATGAGACGTTAACTCCCTTGCCTGGTATACAGGAGGTCGTGGGGTCGATCCTGACCCTGACGCCTGCTGCTGTATATTTGGAGTTTGCGTGTCTCTCTCTCTCATCATCATCACGGTGGCTCTGAGATGTTAACTCCCTCGCCCGGTGTACAGGAGGTCGTGGGGTCAGTCCCGTCCCTGACGCCTGCTGCTGTAATATTAGGAATTTGCGTGTCTCTCTCTCTCATCATCATCACGGTGGCTATGAGATGTTAACTCCCTCGCCCGGTGTACAGGAGGTCGTGGGGTCGATCCCGACCCTGACGATGCCTGCTGCTGTAATATTTGGAGTGTGCGTGTCTTTCTCTCCCCGTGGTCACGTGGATTTTGTTGTCGGGTGCTGCGTATTCTCCCCTGCACATTTACAATCAACATGGTTTTAGAGTACAGGGCTGCGAAAAATGTCCACCCGGTGATGAGCCACTTCGTTGTTGAGCTATCGTTTGTGATAACCAGGTCACCCGTCAAAAGGAGCTATTACGCTCAGCGGGGCCTTTCCTGCTAAAAATAAAACATCGATGTGTGGTTTTTAGTGAGACATATACTGGCTGCGGTGTGCCGGGAGATCGACCTCTGGTTTTCATCGCACGGTGTCAATGTCCTGCCCTCGCGGCCACGCACCTTACAGACGCAGAGTTCGCACGGGGAACGAGGGTCGGTCCAGGTGTCACCTTCGCTCAGCTCCACGCCCATGTGCATGCAGCCTGCGCGCAGACACACACAGATAAAGATCCCCCGTATCAGCCTCTAACAGAGCGTCGGGGCAAGTGCTGTTGGCGAAGGCAAACACGGCACGCAACGGGGGTGGACAACACCATCTTTGTCTCCCCAGTACTGATGTCTATACACCATACCAGGTACACTAAAACCTTGGATTGCGAGCATAATTCGTTCCGAAAACGTGTTTGTGATCCAAAGCACTCGTATATCAAAGCACTCGTATATCAGTTGGATCACGTGACACTCGGCAGACAAAGCGTCTACACGTACACTGCTCGTATTGCAAGACCCTCGCTCGTATATCAAATTAATAATTTATTTTAAAATTTTGCTCGTCTTGCAAAACACTCGCAGACCAAGTTACTCGCAATCCAAGGTTTTACTGTACTCATTTATTGAAGGCTACGTTGACCTAGGGGAGGCCCAGGTCCGGTTTAAATATTGTTGTTGTTGGTGGTGAGCGGGAATCGAACTTGGGTCGCTGGGTGTGTGGCGCAGCGCGCGAACCGCAACACTGCCGCTCCCCTCGGCACACACAAAGAGACGCAGACAGAGAAAGACAAGGAGGCACATGGCAGGCGTGCGCGTGTGCGCGTGTGCGTGTGTGCGTGTGTGCGAGGGCGTGTGTGTGTGTGTGCGCGTCTGTGCGAGTGTGCGTGTGTGCGAGGGCGTCTTTGTGTGCGGGTGTGTGTGTGCGCGTGTGTGTGTGGGTGTGCGCGTGTGTGCGAGGCCGTCTTTGTGTGCGGGTGTGTGTGTGTGTGTGCGCGTCTGTGCGAGTGTGCGTGAGTGCGCGCGTGTTTGTGCGGGGTTGCGCGTCTGTGTGTGCGAGTGTGTGCAGGCGTGCGGGTGCGTGTGGATGCGTGCGGGTGAGCGCGCGCGGGCACCTTCGCACACGGGGCAGCACTGCCCCTCGGGCACGCGGGGCCGGAGGCAGGCGGCGCCCTCGCGGGGGCAGGCGACGGGCGCGCACAGCACGCTGCCCGCCAGGCACACGCAGCGCTGGCAGGGCGCACGCTCCGGCCGCGGCGCCGCCTGCCCCTCGGCCAGCTCGACGCCCTCGTGGAGGCAGCCGCCGGCGCACGAGGGGCAGCACGAGGCCGGGGGCCGCGCCGGCAGCGGGTGGGAGCAGCGCGGGCGGGGGCAGCGGCGCGGGGAGCAGGAGAGGTCGCCGTTCTGCGGGCGCCGGGGGGGGGGGGGAGGGACGAGAGAGGCGCGGGGACACGCGGGGACATGTGGGGGATGACGCACGTGGGGACACGCGTGGGACACACGTAGGGACACGTGGGGGACACGCGTGGGACACACGGGGGGACACGCGGGGGACACGCGTGGGACACACGTAGGGACACGCGGGGGACACGCGGGGACACGCGAGGGACACACGGGGACACGTGGGGGACACGTGGGGGACACACGGGGACACAGAGATAGTGGTTTAGAGGATGGCAGCTCCCCATTCTGCAGAGACGTGGTTTTGTGGGGAGACAGGGAGACACGGCGGCATAGCGGCGGGATAGCGTGATGTTGAGAAAGGGACACGCAGAGAGATAGACACGCAGAGAGAGAGAGACACGCAGGGAGAGAGACACGCAGAGAGACACACAGAGAGAGAGACACGCAGGCATAGAGACACACAGAGAGAGAGACACGCAGACAGAGAGACACGCAGGGAGAGAGACACGCAGGGAGACAGACACGAGGGGTGACTCTGCGTGACAGCGGCAACACATTTGTCACCCTGCAGGTGCAGGAGTGGCACGGTCTGCGGGGGTCTTCGTAGCGGCGTCCGTGGGGGACGCGCGGGCCCCCCCCCTCGACGCGGCACCCCCCCGAGCACACGGGGCAACACGCGGGGGGCACGGGGGGCTCCGGGTCGGCGCAGCTGAGCGGGGGGCACGCGGGCGGCTCGCACGTCACACGGCCCGACTGCGCGCGCGCACACAAAGACAAATGTCCCCCCCCCCGTGTGTAGCCTTTAACGGGCTGTTGGGGCAAGTGCTGTGAGCGAGTAGCACCCATCCACTCGTACGCAGTGACATAGCCCTGACTGTTGGCCAGCAGCAGTAACTGCAGGTGGGGACTTAGCGCGCACACGCCGCTGAGCACACACACGGCGTGTGTGCGTGTGTGTGTGCCGGCAGGGCGGAGGAACTGGGGCAAGGGTCACGGAAGACCTCGTGGGGAGGCCGCTGGAACCCTCTGGAGGGTTCTAGAAGGGAGGCGCGGCCAGGACGGAGCCAAGCCGCGCCCAGGGGAATAAAAGCAGCGGAGAGCAAGGAGCTCCGGGCTGCCGGTTCTGGGAGTGGGCTCGTGTAGAGTTAGCGTGCACGCCTCCTACTATTAGCGTCTCTCAAGTGAGTCACTACACATACAAAGACTAAGATTCCCCGTCTAGCCTTAAGAGACCGTTGGGGCAAGTGCTTTTAGCGAGATGCAGCACCCATGAAGGCCGGCATGGCACACGAGGGCGTGGGTGGGTAGCGTGCACCAAGCCCGGCCGCCTTTGTCTCCCCAGTGGTGATTTTACACATCACGCACCAGGTACTCGTTTGAGGCCGAGTCGACCTAGGGGAGGAGGTCTAGGACCGGTTCAGGTAATCGTCACCGGTGCTGGTAGCCGTGAGCGGGAATCGAACTCGGGTCACCGGGTTCGTAGCGCAGCGTAGCGCTTACCACTACACTACCATGCGTATGGATAGTTGGGTAGGTGGGTGAGTGTGGGTATGGGTAGTTGGGTAGGTGGGTGAGTGTGGGTATGGGTAGTTGGGTAGGTGGGTGAGTGTGGGTATGGGTAGTTGGGTAGGTGGGTGAGTGTGGGTAGTTGGGTAGTTGGGTAGGTGGGTGAGTGAGGGTATGGGTAGTTGGGTAGGTGGGTGAGTGGGTATGGGTAGTTGGGTAGGTGGGTGAGTGTGGGTATGGGTAGTTGGGTAGGTGGGTGAGTGTGGGTAGTTGGGTAGTTGGGTAGGTGGGTGAGTGTGGGTATGGGTAGTTGGGTAGGTGGGTGAGTGGGTATGGGTAGTTGGGTAGGTGGGTGAGTGTGGGTATGGGTAGTTGGGTAGGTGGGTGAGTGTGGGTAGTTGGGTAGGTGGATGAGTGTGGGTATGGGTAGTTTGGTAGGTGGGTGAGTGGGTATGGGTAGTTGGGTAGGTGGGTGAGTGTGGGTATGGGTAGTTGGGTAGGTGGGTGAGTGTGGGTAGTTGGGTAGGTGGGTGAGTGTGGATATGGGTAGTTGGGTAGGTGGATGAGTGGGTATGGGTAGCTGGGTAGGTGGGTGAGTGGGTATGGGTAGTTGGGTAGGTGGGTGAGTGTGGGTATGGGTAGTTGGGTAGGTGGGTGAGTGTGGGTATGGGTAGTTGGGTAGGTGGGTGAGTAGGTATGGGTAGTTGGGTAGGTGGGTGAGTGTGGGTAGTTGGGTAGGTGGGTGAGTGTGGGTAGTTGGGTAGGTGGATGAGTGTGGGTATGGGTAGTTGGGTAGGTGGGTGAGTGGGTATGGGTAGTTGGGTAGGTGGGTGAGTGTGGGTATGGGTAGTTGGGTAGGTGGGTGAGTGTGGGTAGTTGGGTAGGTGGGTGAGTGTGGGTATGGGTAGTTGGGTAGGTGGGTGAGTGGGTAGTTGGGTAGGTGGGTGAGTGTGGGTAGTTGGGTAGGTGGATGAGTGTGGGTATGGGTAGTTGGGTAGGTGGGTGAGTGGGTATGGGTAGTTGGGTAGGTGGGTGAGTGTGGGTATGGGTAGTTGGGTAGGTGGGTGAGTGTGGGTAGTTGGGTAGGTGGGTGAGTGGGTATAGGTAGTTGGGTAGGTGGGTGAGTGTGGGTATGGGTAGTTGGGTAGGTGGGCGAGTGGGTAGTTGGGTAGGTGGGTGAGTGTGGGTAATTGGGTAGTTGGGTAGGTGGGTGAGTGTGGGTATGGGTAGTTGGGTAGGTGGGTGAGTGGGTATGGGTAGTTGGGTAGGTGGGTGAGTGTGGGTATGGGTAGTTGGGTAGGTGGGTGAGTGTGGGTAGTTGGGTAGGTGGGTGAGTGGGTATAGGTAGTTGGGTAGGTGGGTGAGTGTGGGTATGGGTAGTTGGGTAGGTGGGCGAGTGGGTAGTTGGGTAGGTGGGTGAGTGTGGGTAATTGGGTAGTTGGGTAGGTGGGTGAGTGGGTAGTTGGGTAGGTGGGTGAGTGTGGGTAATTGGGTAGGTGGGTGAGTGGGTATAGGTAGTTGGGTAGGTGGGTGAGTGTGGGTATGGGTAGTTAGGTAGGTGGGTGAGTGTGGGTATGGGTAGTTGGGTAGGTGGGTGAGTGTGGGTATGGGTAGTTGGGTAGGTGGGTGAGTGTGTGTATGGGCAGTGTGGGGAGCGGTGGTGTAGTGGATAGCGTGCTACGCTACGAACCCCGCCACCCAAGTTCGATTCCCGATCATGGCCAAAACCAGTGACAATTATCTGAACTGGTCCTGGGCCTCCCCTAGGTTGACTCAGCCTCAAATTAGTACGTGGTGCTGTGTGTAAACATCGCCACTAGGGAGACAAAGGCGGCCGGGCGTGGTGATGGCCACCCACCCCCTCGTGTGCCTTGCCGGCCTTCATAGCTGCTCGCTAACAGCAATCTTTGTCTGGGTAGTTGGAGGAGGCTCGTAAAGGACGCTACTGGCCAGTTGGAGGCAGTCGCCCTCCAACAACAAATGAGGGCAAAGGAGCTACGCTCACAACAACGAGCGGAGCGCCGGGTGGCTAAAATGCAGCGAGTTGGCACAGTTGGGGGTGCAGGTGGTGGTGCATCTACCGGTCATAGCCAACCGATGGTACCTGCTGGGTCTGTCCCATGACCTCCTGTCAGCAGACAGCCTTCGGCACTGCACGTGGTCTCAAAGTGCACCTAGCCTGGCACAGACGCCGTGGTGACCCCACCGTCACTTAGTGGCGAATGGCGCGGATTGGTATTGGGTAGTTTGGTATGTGGGTGCAATGTTCACTGTGCTGTACGTGCATAGGGTGGGTGTTGTGTGTGTGTAGGTGGTGGGTGTTGTGTGTCTGTGTAGGTGGTGGGTGTTCTGTGTGTGTGTGTGTGTAGGTGGTGGGTGTTCTGTGTGTGTAGGTGGTGGGTGTTCTGTGTGTGTGTAGGTGGTGGGTGTTCTGTGTGTGTGTGTGTAGGTGGTGGGTGTTCTGTGTGTGTGTGTAGGTGGTGGGTGTTCTGTGTGTGTGTAGGTGGTGGGTGTTCTGTGTGTGTGTGTGTGTAGGTGGTGGGTGTTCTGTGTGTGTGTGTGTAGGTGGTGGGTGTTCTGTGTCTGTGTAGGTGGTGGGTGATCTGTGTGTGTAGGTGGTGGGTGTTCTGTGTGTGTGTAGGTGGTGGGTGTTCTGTGTGTGTGTAGGTGGTGGGTGTTCTGTGTGTGTGTGTGTAGGTGGTGGGTGTTCTGTGTGTGTGTGTGTAGGTGGTGGGTGTTCTGTGTGTGTGTGTGTGTAGGTGGTGGGTGTTCTGTGTGTGTGTAGGTGGTGGGTGTTCTGTGTGTGTGTAGGTGGTGGGTGTTCTGTGTGTGTGTGTGTAGGTGGTGGGTGTTCTGTGTGTGTGTAGGTGGTGGGTGTTCTGTGTGTGTGTGTGTAGGTGGTGGGTGTTCTGTGTGTGTGTGTGTAGGTGGTGGGTGTTCTGTGTGTGTGTGTAGGTGGTGGGTGTTCTGTGTGTGTGTAGGTGGTGGGTGTTCTGTGTGTGTGTGTGTAGGTGGTGGGTGTTCTGTGTGTGTGTAGGTGGTGGGTGTTCTGTGTGTGTGTAGGTGGTGGGTGTTCTGTGTGTGTGTGTGTAGGTGGTGGGTGTTCTGTGTGTGTGTAGGTGGTGGGTGTTCTGTGTGTGTGTAGGTGGTGGGTGTTCTGTGTGTGTGTGTGTAGGTGGTGGGTGTTCTGTGTGTGTGTAGGTGGTGGGTGTTCTGTGTGTGTGTGTAGGTGGTGGGTGTTCTGTGTGTGTGTAGGTGGTGGGTGTTCTGTGTGTGTGTAGGTGGTGGGTGTTCTGTGTGTGTGTGTAGGTGGTGGGTGTTCTGTGTGTGTGTGTGTAGGTGGTGGGTGTTCTGTGTGTGTGTAGGTGGTGGGTGTTCTGTGTGTGTGTAGGTGGTGGGTGTTCTGTGTGTGTGTGTAGGTGGTGGGTGTTCTGTGTGTGTGTAGGTGGTGGGTGTTCTGTGTGTGTGTAGGTGGTGGGTGTTCTGTGTGTGTGTGTAGGTGGTGGGTGTTCTGTGTGTGTGTAGGTGGTAGGTGTTCTGTGTGTGTGTGTGTAGGTGGTAGGTGTTCTCTGTGTGTGTAAGTGGTGGGTGTTCTGTGTGTGTGTGTGTAGGTGGTGGGTGTTTTGTGTGTGTGTGTAGGTAGTAGGTGTTCTCTGTATGTGTAGGTGGTGGGTGTTCTGTGTGTGTGTGTAGGTAGTAGGTGTTCTCTGTATGTGTAGGTGGTGGGTGTTCTGTGTGTGTGTAGGTGGTGGGTGATCTGTGTGTGTGTGTGGCATGGGGAGCGGTAGAGTCGTGGTTAGCGCTAGGCTGCGCTATGAACCTGGCGACTCGGGTTCGATTCCCGTTCACGGCCAACATCAGTGACGATTATCTGAACCGGTCCTGGGCCTCCCCTAGGTCAACTCAGCCTCAAATGAGTACCCGGGGCGGTGTGTAGTAAACATCACCACTGGGGACCACCCACCCCCTCGTGTGCCGTGCCAGCCTTCATCGGTGCTCGCTAACAACACTTGCCCCAACAGTCGGTTACAGGCTATACGGGGGATCTTTGTGTGTGTATGCGCGTGCGTGCGTGTGCATGCGTGCGCGTGCACGTGTATGCGTGTGCATGCATGTGCACGTGTGTGTGTGCGTGGGCACGTGTATGCGTGTGCGTGCATGTGCACGTGTGTGTGTGTGCGTGTGTGTGCACGTGTATGCGTATGCATGCATGTGCACGTGTGTGTGCGTGCGTGGGCACGTGTATGCGTGTGCGTGCATGTGCACGTGTGTGTGTGCGTGCGTGTGCACGTGTATGCGTGTGCATGCATGTGCACGTGTGTGTGTGCGTGCGTGGGCACGTGTGTGCGTGTGCATGCATGTGCACGTGTGTGTGCACGTGCGTGTTCACCTGACACAGGCAGGTGGAGCAGGGCTCGCCGGGGTGGGGGAACGCCTCCCCGTCGGCGCACGCCCGCCCCCCAAACCGGCAGCTGCCGCACTCGGCGCAGCCGCAAGCGTCCAGCCCCGGGTGGGGGCAGGGCCCGCCGGCGGGGGGGGCGGAGGGACACACGCGGGGGGAGCAGCGCACGGAGCCTCGCTGCGGGACGGGGAGCGGAGAGGGAGCAGGGGGGTAGCAGGGTGGGGAGCAGGGTGGGGAGCACATCACACGTTCAGAGCAGCTGGCCGTTGCTGTAAATGGCCACGTGATGAGCCACGTGATGAGCCACGTGGCCGAGCTGCCATTTGCGGCCAGGTCGCTTACAGACAAGAGCCTCACGGCTCAGTGGGCCTCATAAAATAAAACAAAAACTGCTGAACCAGCAGTTCCACTGCTGGTTTATTTTTCCCGCCTGAGGACGACCGCTTGCGCTACGATCGAAATGTCGTGATGTTTTTATTTTTTGTTTTATTTTCTACCTACGTGACTTTACCGAAAGAACCAAACAGGATGGATTCCTGCAGTCACGAAAGCCGTCACCCAAAGTGGTACTCGGTTTATCGCCCCCCCCGGAGGGGATTAGCCGGGCGTAGAGACCCGGTTGCTTGGGGAGGAGTGGGTTTGGTGGATCACGTCGAGACGTGCGACAACGATTCCCGCTCGCTGTCAATGTCGGCGACAACCATCGGGACCGGCCCTGGGGCCCTCCCCCTAAGTCGACACGGCCCACGATGAGCACCCGATGCGGTGCGTCAGCTTCGGCGCCGGGGGAGACAAACGCGGCCGGGCGCGGTGCTGGCCGCATCCGCCGTCTCGCGCGCCGCGCCTGCCTTCGCGGGTGCTGCTCGCCAGCGGCACTTGCCCCAACAGTCTGTTGAGCCTAGACGGTGGCGGGGGTATCTTTGGCTTTGTACAGGTGTCATACCTTGCAGGTGCAGTCCTGACACTGCGCCTTGGGGGCAGGGAAAACGTCTCCATCCGCGTAGTCTCTGCCCTGGAACCGGCAGCCTGAGAGACACGCAGAGACGCACGGACTCGAGGACACGCAGACACCCCTCGGGATAGCCTTGACAGACTGTTGGGGCAAGTGCTGTTCGCGAGCGGTGATGGGCGATGGTGGGCAGTGATGGGCGGTGATGGGTGACGATGGGCGGTGATGGTCGATGATGGGTGGTTATGGGTGGTGATGGGTGGTGATGGGCGGTGATGGGCGATGATGGGCGATGATGGGCGGTGATCGGCGGTGATGGGTGGTGATGGGCGATGATGGGCAGTGATGGGCGATGATGGGCGGTGATGGGCGGTGATGGGCGATGATGGGCGATGATGGGTGGTGATGGGCGGTGATGGGCGGTGATGGGCGGTGATGGGTGGTGATGGGTGGTGATGGGTGGTGATGGGCGATGATGGGCGGTGATGGGCGGTGGTGGGCGGTGGTGGGCGGTGGTGGGCGGTGGTGGGTGGTGGTGGGTGGTGGTGGGCGGTGGTGGGCGATGATGGGCGATGATGGGCGATGATGGGCGGTGGTGGGCGGTGATGGGCGATGATGGGTGGTGGTGGGCGGTGGTGGGTGGTGGTGGGTGGTGGTGCATCTCTCACCATCACACACGGGACACTCGCAGGCCCCCACAGTGGCGTGGCTGCACGTGACGGCCGGACAGGGCGCACGCGCACACAGCACAGAGCCATCCTGCCAGCACGCACGCACACACACGCATACACACACACACACACGCACACACACACACGCATACACACGCACACACACGCATACACACGCACACAGATACATGTACGGATATACGCATGCACGCGCAAACTGATGGGGCAAGTGCTGTTCCTGAGCACCTATGAAGGCCGGCATGGCACACGGACACACACACACACGGATACACACCCACACACACGTACGGATACACACACACACACGTATAGATACATACACACACAAGTACGGATACACACCCACACACACGTACAGATACATACACACACACGTACAGATACACACACACACGTACTGATACGCACACGAATACACACGCTCAAACACACGGATACAAACAGTACAGACACACACGCACGCACACATACGGATACACAAGCACGTGCATACAGACATACGGATACAAAGACAAAGATCCCCCGTATAACCTTAACAGACTGTAGGGGCAAGTGCTGTCAGAGAGCACCTACGCACACGCACACACACACACATGTAAAAATACATACACACACACGAACAGATACACACGTACAGATACACACACACACACGTACAGATACACACACACACACGTACAGATACACACACACACACGTACAGATACATACACACACACACGCACACACACACGTACAGATACATACACACACACGCACACACACACACGTACATACACACACACGTACAGATACACACACACACACGGATACATACACACACACACACGTACAGATGCATACACACACGTACAGATACATACACACACACGTACAGATACATACACACACACACGTACAGATACATACACACACACGTACAGATACATACACACACGTACAGATACATACACACACACACGCACACACACACACACGTACAGATACATACACACGCACGCACACACACACACACACACGTACAGATACATACACACACACGTACAGATACACACACACGTACAGATACATACACACACATGCACACACACACACACGTACAGATACACACACACACACACACGTACACACACACACACGTACAGATACATACACACACACACGCACACACACACGTACAGATACATACATACGTACAGATACATACACACATACACACACGTACAGATACATACACACACACGTACAGATACATACACACACACACGTACAGATACACACACGTACAGATACATACATACACACGTACAGATACACACACACACACTCATCCGGCAGCGTATTGGCACAAGGGCCGGTAAAGGCGCACGCTGCGACGTGCCGTATCCCCGGTGTCGCGATTCGGCCAACGGGGGCAGGAGAAACCAAATAAAAAAACGAATCCACCGATGGGACGCTGGCAACTTGAAGGCCGATCGCGGCCCCCAACGCTCTCCGGAACCCCGCCGATTTGGACGGCAATCGACATTCTCCCGTCGCGGCCCATCGCTCTGGGCCTCTGTGAAGACGCGTCCGTCCTCTTGCCTCCCTGAAGGCTGGCAACCCCCCCCACCCTCTCCGCCCACGGCATCAAAAACCCCCGGCCCTGCCACCTCCCGTCCAGCGGCACGCGTAGGGACGGAGGGCGAGGCCCTCGCCGCGGAATGCGCCCGCTCCTGCCAACAGAGCGGGCGAGCGAGCCGGGAAATGTACCGGGCGAGGGATCGAGCCCCCGGTTCACGGTGAGACGATCACTCCCACTCCCCCCCCTCCAACCCCTCCCCACCCACCCCGTACCCGTACCGAACACGTGCAGCGAGAGCAGACGTCGTCCTTGGGGTCGAGGAATGAAACTCCGTTCTTGTGCGTCACTCCGTCCACCACGCAGCCTGGGGGCAGGGGAAGAGGCGGGGGACACAAAAGTGACACTCGGTCGCTCTCGCTCATTGCTCCCGCACCTCGCGTTGGCACGGTTGGCTACGTACGGTGCGAAAGAAGTTCCACATACCTACGTGCTACCCATAGACTAACACTACCCATAGACTGACACTACCCATAGACTAACACTACCCATAGACTGACACTGCCCATAGACTGACACTACCCATAGACTGACACTGCCCATAGACTGACACTGCCCATAGACTCATAGACTGACACTGCCCATAGACTGACACTGCCCATAGACTGACACTGCCCATAGACTGACACTGCCCATATACTTACACTAACCATAGACTGACACTACCCATAGACTGACACTACCCATAGACTGGCACTGCCCATAGACTGACACTACCCATAGACTGACACTGCCCTAGACTAATACTGCCCATAGGCTGACACTACCCATAGACTGACACTACCCATATACTAACACTGCCCATAGACTAACACTGCCCATAGACTAACACTACCCATAGATTGACACTGCCCATAGACTGACACTACCCATAGACTAACACTACCCATAGACTGACACTGCCCATAGACTGACACTACCCATAGACTGACACTACCCATAGACACATACACAAAACAAAGACACACACACGCATACACACGCACACAAAGATCCCCCATATAGCCTGTAACAGACTGTAGGGGCAAGTGCTGTTCGCGAGCAGCACCTATGAAGGCCGGCACGGCACACGACGGGGGTGGGTGACCAGCACCACGCCCGACCGCCTTTGTCTCCCCAGTGGCGATGCTTACACACCGCACCAGGTACCCATTTGAGGCCGAGTCGACCTAGGCCAACACCGGTTCAGATAATCGTCACCGGTGTTGGCCGTGAGCGGGAATCGAACCCGGTGTCAAGTGCGCGCACACGCGCACGTACGTACCGTCGCACGCCGGGCAGCACGCGCCGCGCGGCACCGCTGGGTGCGTGCAGCGCGCGGGGCGGGGGCACGGGCGCACGCGGCACGTCACGGCGCCGTCGGAGCAGACGCACACGCGGCACGGCGAGCCCGGCTCCTCAAACTCCTGCCCGTTGAGGTACTCGGAGTCCAGGTAGCCACAGCCTGCGTGGGGTGAAGCGATGGGGGAGGGGAGGCTGCAAGTTTAAACCGCGGACGTGCGGACGGACAGCAAGACGCAGGGAGGCGCGGGGGGCAGCAGAGGGGAGGCCGTGGGTCGACGCCGGGACCTCACCGTCGCAGGACGGGCAGCAGCGCCCGCGCGCCGGGTGCGGGCAAGCGGGCGCGGGGCAGCGCGGCGCGTGGCACGTCACGGAGCCCGCCGCGCACACGCACTCGCGGCACGGCTCGCCGGGCTGCGGCCGGCGCTCCCCCTCCACCAGCTCCACGCCGTGCAGGAGGCAGCCTGCGCCGGGCGGGGGGCGGGGGCGGGGGGGGTAGGGGGAGACAGTGACGGGGGTGCTGCTGCTAACGCCGCCTCTTTTTTCCCCCACCGGCACATCCGAGCCGTGCCAGCGTGGGGGGGGGGGGGGGGAGCGGGTGGGCGCCCGTTTGCCGGACGGCGGCAGCCAGACCGCAAGGCGTGACGCGGAGGTCCTCACGAGACGATTCGTGAATCGCGGGGCCAAGCGGGGCCAGGGGGAGGGGCCTAACGAGGCGTCAATTGCGAGCCGTGTCGGAAAGTTCACCGTGAGGACACGGGGTCACCGCGTCACCCGCACGCGTCTCTCCCTCTCACCCTGTCTTCTCTCTCACCCCCCCTCCCGCCCCCCCCGCCCCCCCCCCCCGTGGCCCCTCACCGTCGCAGGAGGGGCAGCAGGCGTGCGCCCGCGGGTGCGAGCACGGCGCCGGTGGGCACGGCCGCCGCATGCACGTCACCGTGCCGTTGGCACACACGCACGCGCGGCACCGCTCGCTCGGGTCGTAGAACCGCTGAGCGTGGTCGTAGCGCACGCCCAGGTACACGCAGCCCGCGGGGGGCTCTGTGGGGGGGGGGGGGGGGGGCGGTGGGGGGGGCATGGGTTAGGGGGCACGGTCACACAGGTTACGGAGTTCCCTGGGCGGGAAGGGGTGGGGGGCACGTCACAGTTTCTCTCGGAGGTCGGGGTTCAATTTGGTTTTGTTTAAACCAGGTGAGGTTTAGTCTCGCTAGTGGGCAGGGTCACGGGTTAGAGGGCAGGGTCACAGGTTAGAGGGCAGGGTCACGGGTTGAATGGCAGAGTCGTGGGTTAGAGGGCAGGGTCACAGGTTAGAGGGCAGAGTCGTGGGTTAGAGGGCAGGGTTACGGGTTAGAGGGCAGGGTCACGGAATAGAGGGCAGGGTCATGGGTTAGAGGGCAGGGTCACAGGTTAGAGGGCAGGGTCACAGGTTAGAGGGCAGGGTTACGGAATAGAGGGCAGGGTCACGGGTTAGAGGGCAGAGTCGTGGGTTAGAGGGCAGGGTCATGGGTTAGAGGGCAGGGTCACGGGTTAGAGGGCAGGGTCACGGGTTAGAAGGCAGGGTCACGGGTTAGAGGGCAGGGTCATGGGTTAGAGAACAGTGTCGCAGGTTAGAGGGCAGGGTCACGGGTTAGAGGGCAGGGTCACGGGTTAGAGTGTAGGGTCACAGGTTAGAGGGCAGGGTCACAGATTAGAGGGCAGGGTCACGGGTTAGAGGGCAGGGTCACGGGTTAGAAGGCAGGGTCACGGGTTAGGAGGCAGGGTCACGGGTTAGAGGGCAGTGTCACGGGTTAGAGGGCAGGGTCACGGGTTAGAGGGCAGGGTCACGGGTTAGAGGGCAGGGTCACGGATTAGAGGGCAGGGTCACGGGTTAGAGGGCAGGGTCACGAGTTAGAGGGCAGGGTCACGGGTTAGAGGGCAGGGTCACGGGTTAGAGGGCAGGGTCACGGGTTAGAGGGCAGAGTCGTGGGTTAGAGGGCAGGGTCACGGGTTAGAGGGCAGGGTCACGGGTTAGAGGGTAGGGTCACGGGTTAGAGGGCAGGGTCACGGGTTAGAGAGCAGGGTCACGGGTTAGAGGGCAGGGTCACGGGTTAGAGAGCAGGGTTAAGGGTTAGAGGGCAGAGTCACGGGTTAGAGGGCAGGGTCGTGGGTTAGAGGGCAGAGTCGTGGGTTAGAGGGGAGGGTCACGGGTTAGAGGTCAGGGTCACGGGTTAGAGGGCAGGGTCACTGGTTAGAAGCAGGGTTGGGAGTGGGGTTGGGGGTAGAGCTTAATGAATACGCACCAAAGATAAAGATCCCCTGTGTAGCCTCGACAGGCTGTTGTGGCAAGTGCTGTTAGCGAGCGCTTACGAAGGCCGGCACGGCACACGACGGGGTGAGTCGCCAGTACCACGCCCGGCCGCCTTTGTCTCCCCCGTGGCAATGTTTTTACACACCGCACCAGGTACTCATTAGAGGCTGAGTCGACCTAGGGGAGGCCCATGACCAGTTCAGATAATCGTCACAGGTGTTGGCCGTGAGCGGGGGGTAGCCGGGTTCGGAGCGCAGCGTAGCGCTAACCGCTGCACCACCGCTCAGCTGTGAAGAACACACGCAACACGCAACACAACGCATACATGCACACACAACGCGCAACACGCACACACAACACGTACACACACAACGCGCAACACGCACACACAACGCGTACACGCACAACACGTACACACACAACGCGTACACGCACACACAACGCGTACACACACACACAACGCGTACACGCACAACACGTACACACACAACGCGTACACGCACAACGCGTACACGCACACACACAACACGTACACACACAACGCGTACACGCACAACACGTACACACACAACGCGTACACGCACACACAACACGTACACACACAACACGTACACACACACACAACGCGTACACGCTGAACACGTACACACACAACGCGTACACGCACACGCACAACATGTACACACACAACGCGTACACGCACACACACAACTCGTACACACACAACACGTACACGCACGCACAACACGTACACACACAACACGTACACACACACACAACGCGTACACGCTGAACACGTACACACACAACGCGTACACGCACACGCACAACACGTACACACACAACGCGCACACGCACACGCACAACACGTACACACACACACAACGCGCACACAACACGTACACGCACGCACAATGCGTACACGCACAATGCGTACACACACAACACGTACACACACAACGCGCACACGCACGCACAACGCGTACACACACAACGTGTACACGCACACACAACACGTACACACACAACGTGTACACGCACACACAACACGTACACACAACGTGTACACGCACACACAACGCGTACACGTACAACACGTACACGCACACACAACGAGCTGCACCTGGACACTTGGGGCAGCAGGCTCCTGGGGGCAGCAGTGAGTCGGGGCAGCCCAGCACGGGGCAGCGCTTCTTGGGACACTGCACCTTGCCGTTCTGCGTTAAATACACAAAGAGGGAGGATCATCGTCATCATCGTCGTTGTCATCATCGTCGTCATCATCAGTCATCGTCATTCTCATCACCATTGTCATCATCACTGTCCTCATCATCATAGTCATCATCATTCTTATCATCATCGCCATTATCATCATTGTCATCGTCACCATCAACTTCATCATTATCGTCATTCTCATCATCATTGTCATCATCACTGTCATCATCATCATAGTCATCATCATCATTGTCATCGTCACCATCAACTTCATCATTATCGTCATTCTCATCATCATTGTCATCATCACTGCCATCATCATCATAGTCATCATCATTCTCATCATCATCGTCATCATCATCGTCATCATCATCATCGTCATCATCACTGTCATCGTCAGCATCATTATCACAGTCATTCTCATCATCATCATTGTCATCGTCACAAGAAGTTGAGCCGACCAGATAGACAGAGATGACGTGGGGGATAGAGAACCGGGGTGGGCGGTCGTGTGTACAGACACAGGCGTGTGTGTACACACACAACAACAACAACCGCCATTCACCACTAAGTGGCGGTGACGTCACCACAACGCTTGTGCCAGGCTATGTGCACCCTGAGGCCACGTGAAGTGTCGAACGCCCGCTGGCAGGTCACGGGGCAGACCCAGGTGCCACGGGTCGACTGAGATGACTGGCTGATGCACCACCTGTGCCCCCTACTGTGCCAACCCGCTGTGCTTCAACCACCCGGCGCTCCGCTCGTTGTTGTGAGCGTCGCTCCTCCGCCCTCCGTTGTTGTTGGAGGGCGACTACCTCAAACTGCCCAGTAGCATCCTTCACGAGCCTCCTCCACAGAGGCCGATCTTGACACCGCTGGTACCAGTCATCGGCAAGTCCACTCAGCTCCACGTCCTCCTGTACCACATCACTCCATCTCTTCTCTAGCCCGTGCCGCGCCCGTTTAGCCCCCTCAATCCTCGCCGAACAAAAGCTTTTTAGGCATGCGGTGGCTGGGCATGCGGGCTACATGACCCAGCCATCGCAGCCTTGCCCGCCGGAGGAGCTCACCGATGGGACCTTGCCCAGATCTTTCAAGGATTTGTGAACACCTCACACAATCCAGTCTGGTTAAATCCAGGATGGATCATAGGCAGGCCAGCCTAAATGTTTCTAACCGGCGAAGATGTTCCATTAGGTGTGTACACAGACATGTACACACACACACCGGCGCGTGTGCACACACACACTCAGACATGTACACACACACACACTGGCGCGTGTACACACACACAGACGAGTACACACACAAACACTCAGACATGTACACACACACACACTGGCGCGTGTACACACACACAGACGAGTACACACACACACTCAGACATGTACACACACACAGACATGTACACACCCAGACGAGTACACACACACACTCAGACATGTACACACACACAGACATGTACACACACACAGACGAGTACACACACACACACACACCGGCGCGTGTGCACACACACACACAGACGAGCACACACACACTCAGACATCTACACACACACACTCAGACATGTACACACACACACTCAGACATGTACACACACACACACTGGCGCGTGCACACATGCACACTCAGACATGTACACACACACACACACTCAAGACGAGTATACACACACACACACACTCAAGACATGTACAGTACACACACACAGACGAGTACACATGCACACGCACAGGCGTACAGAACCCCCCGTGCGTGCCAACGCTTGCGCCTGTCCATCCGCTCAACAGGCGCCGTGAGCGGCTGCATCACGTCGCAGCGGATGGATCCGAATCAAACCGTTGCCTAGGGGGCGGGCGCGTAGAGTCTCACGGCGGACGCGCAGAGTCTCACGGCAATAAAATAAATCGCGGTGTGTAACGTGTTATTGGAAAGTCTCCGGCTTTCCAGCAGCAGCAGCAGCAGCATCGTCAGGCGATGGCTGGCCAGAAGTGTGAGGATGAAAGCCCACGTGTTAAGCTGTCATCGTCGTTGCAATGATGGTCGTCATCGTCGTCGTCGTTGTAGTGAATCGTCATTGTGGATATCATCGTAATTATGATTATTATCATCGTAATCATGGTCATCGTCGTCTTAATCATGGTCATTATCATCATCATCATTGTAATCATGGTCATCATGGTCATCATCGTCGCCGTCGTTGTAATCATGGTCATCTTATCATCATCATTATGGTCATCGTCGTCATCATCATGGTCGTAATCACGGTCATCATCGTCGTCATCATCGTCGTCGTCATCGCGGTAACCATGGTCATCTTCGTCGTCGTCATCGTGGTAACCATGGTCATCATCATCGTCGTCATCATCGTGGTAACCATGGTCATCATGGTCATCATCATCATCATCGTGGTAATCATGGCCATCATCGTCGTCGTCATCGTGGTAATCAGGGTCATCATCATCGTCATCATCGTCGTCATCATCGTGGTAATCAGGGTCATCACGGTCATCATCGTCATCATCATGGTAATCAGGGTCATCATGGTCATCATCATTATAATCGTCATCGCCATCATCGTCATCATCATCGTGGTAATCAGGGTCATCACGGTCATCATCATCATAATCGTCATCGCCATCATCGTCAGCCCGGCCTCGAGCGACGCGGGCGCTGCTCCCGTACGATGCAGTGGCAGACGCGACAATCGTCAGAGGAGTGTGGGAACTCCATCCCGTTGGGGTAGTCCTTCCCGGCATAGCTGCAGCCTGTACACACACACACAACAACAAAGACAAAGATCCCCCGTGTAGCCTTTAACAGACCGGTTGGGGCAAGTGCCATTAGCGAGCAGCAGCACCTATGAATGCCGGCACGGCGCACGAGGGGGTGGGTGGCCAACACCACGCCCGGCCGCCTTTGTCTCCCCAGTGGCGATGTTTACTACACACCGCACCAGGCGCTCATTTGAGGCTGAGTCGACCCAGGGGAGGCCCAGGACCGGTTCAGATGATCGTCACCGGTGTTGGCTGTGGGCGGAAATCAAACTCGCATTGCCGGATCAATCCGAGGGAAGGCCGAGGACGTGCTATGAAGGTCCGTTGCCTGAAACGTCGCCTACTCTATGTTTTCCTTTCGAGGCAACACACACGGCGACAACAACAACACACGCTGCTGTTGTCGCTGTTGACGAAGGTGTTGATTGGTTGTTGTTGCTATTGTTGTTTGTTGCTTGTGCACTGCTGCCAACGCATCATCATCATCAGCAGCATCATCAGCAGCATCATCATAACCAGTATTATCATCAGTAACAGCATCATCATCAGCAGCAGCATCATCAGCAGCAGAATCATCAGCAACAGCATCATCAGCATCATCATCAGCAGCAGCAGAATCATCAGCAGCATCATCATCAGCAGCAGCAGAATCATCAGCATCATCAGCAGCAGCAGCATCATCATCATCATGATCAGCAGCAGCATCATCAGCAGCAGCATCATCATCAGCAGCAGCAGCATCAGCAGCAGCAGAATCATGAGCAGCATCATCATCAGCAGCATCATCAGCAGCAGTCGCCAGATACTTTGTTGAAATCTCCAAAGCGTGAAGCTCACCGTTAGGCCGGAGCGGTGGAGACAGGTTCAGCGTTCTCACCGTTGCAGTTGTTGGAGCAGCAGGCGCCCGGCGCGCTGTGAGGGCAGGCGGGCTGAGGGCAGGCCCGCTCCCGGCACTCCACGCGCCCGTCATGGCACACGCAGTCCTGGCAGCTGCCCGCGGGGTTCGGGAAGCGCTCCCCCTCGCGCCACACGCGGTCCTCGAACGTGCAGTCTGGTGGGAGCGGGCGGGCGTGTGGGGATGACGGCAAGGGCTCCGTGCGGCGCGCCACGCGCTGCCCGGCCTGCCTCGGTGAGGTCCCGGCGTCGACTCACAGCCTCCCCTTTGTCTTCCCCGCGCGTCCTCGGGTTGCGCAGCTACACTCTGTGCCTCCCTGCGTCTGTAAATTTGCTCTTCTCTACCAAGTGAGGCCCCGACTGAGCTACGTCGAGCGACCTGGCCATCGAAAACCGATGGCTCGACGCCGTGGGGCTTATCGTCACGCGGAGATTTATCGCAGCCAAACACTCCGAGTGCACGCTAATTCTAAATGTGGAGGGAAAGACCGGAGGACCCGCATGGAAACTCCGCGTGAACACGGGGAGAGAGAGAGACACCACAAACTCCAAATATACAGCAGCAGCAGCAGACGTCGTCAGGGTCGGGATCGAACCCACGACCTCCTGTATACCAGGCGAGGTAGTTAACATCTCCTAACCACCGTGATGATGAGAGAGAGACACCACAAACTCCAAATATACAGCAGCAGCAGGCGTCGTCAGGGTCGGGATCCACGACCTCCTGCACGCCAGGCGAGGGAGTTAACATCTCCTAGCCACCGTGGCGCCACCAGCTCCGTTACCACTCATCACCGTCTGGAAGTTCATAGCAGCCAAAAAAACTCGAAACGGACGTCCATTCTGAATGTGGAGGAGTAAAACCGGAAATCACTCCGTGGCTGCGCGAGTTCGTGGGGCACGTGATGGGCGTGTCAGACACAATGGGCCAGCGTCTCTGGGGGCCTAGGTTCGAGCCCCGGGTGCAGGTGTCTCTCTCCGTCTCACCGGGGCACCTCGGACAGCAGTGGCCATCCACCTTCTCCGGGCGGCTGCATGGGGTCGGAGGGCACGCGGCAGGGTCGCAGGTCACGGTGCCGTCCTGCGGAGACGAGAGGGAGCGGTCACTCGCCCGGCGGGGCGACAGCGGTCAGTGCTTCGAAATGGGTCGGCAAGCCTACCTGCTGCTGTGCCACAACACCGTGCCACCGTTGTGGCAAGGGCACGCTCGTGCGCAGAAACACGAGGCTTCCTGAGACAGGCCCAGGCAGGTGTTATGGGTTGACCGGTGCCGTGGGTTGACTGCTGTGCCAGGCTAGGTGCAGGAGGAGTAGGTCACGAGACAGACCCAGGTGCCACCGGCTGACGGATCGATGTGACTGGCAGACGCGCCAACTGGCTGCGTTCTCTCCAGCCCGGCTGCTCCGCTCGTTGTTGTGAGCGACGCTCCTCCGCCCTCCGTTGTTGTTGCTGGAGGGCGGCTGCCTCCGACTAGCCCAGTAGCAGCGTCCTTCACGAGCCTCCTCCTCCACAGGGGCCGATCGCGACACCGCTGGTACCGGTCATCGGAAAAAAATCCACTCATCTCAAGATCAGTGGACTTGCCAGTGACACACACACCTGGCAGAGGCAGTTGAGGCATGGGTCGCTGGGGTCAGTGAAGGCCTGGCCATTGCTGAACATGCGGTCTCTGTAGCTGCAGCGATCACAGACGGCGCAGCAATCCTCTGCACACAACACACAAAGACAAAGATCCCCCGTATAGCCTTTAACAGACTGCTGGGGCAAGGGCCTATGAAGGCCGGCACGGCACACGAGGGGGTGACGATATTTACTACACACCGCACCAGGAACACATTTGAGGCTGAGTCGACCTAGGGGAAGCCCAGCACCGGTTCAGACAATCGTCACCGGTGCTGGCTGTGAGCGAGAATCCAACTCGGGTCGCCGGGTTCGTGGCGCAGCGTGGCGCTAACCGCTGCACCACCGCTCCCCGCGCACGCCCAGGCATGCAACGTACGCCCACACCCACGCGGACCCCTCCGCCCACCCCCCCCCCCCACCCCATACAAGTCAGGGTCACCCAGCCTGGCACGGGGCGCACCGGCAATGCGGGCCGGATGCTGGCAGAGCGTGGGGAGGCAGAGCGCCCCGTGGCACAGGAGTTGCCCGTCGAGGCACCGGCAGGTTGGGCACGTCTCGTCCGGCCCCTCCACTCGCGCGCCCTCCGCGACCTCCTTCCCGTCTACCACACAGCCTGGCCGCAACAAAGACAAAGGTCACCGCCGCCCCCGTGTGGCCTTCGCGGACCGCCGGGGCAAGAGCTGTTCGCGAGTTGCACGTACGAAGTCCGGCACGGCGGTCGGCACCGCGCCCGGCCGCCTTTGTCTCCCCAGTGGGACTGCGTTTGCACGCCCGCGACCAGGTACTCGTTTACGCGATGCCGCGTGTTGGCTCGCCACCTCTTCCACTGCAGGCCGTGCCGGTACCAGATCTCGCTACGAGTCAATCCCTGCTGCCACCCGGCACGCACGGACGCCAATTGTCTGGCAAGGTGGCGACCCTTGGTGGGTGGGTGGGTGAGTGATTTGGTGAGTGAGTGGGTCGGTGAGTGGGTTACTCACTTGGGAAGTGAATGAGTGAACGAGTGAATTAGCCGGTGGGCGAGTGCGTCGGTGGGTGGGTGGGCGAGTGCGTGCGTGGGTGGGTGAGTGGCTAGATGAGTGGGTGAGTGGGTGGGTGGATGGGTGGATGGGTGAGGGAGTGAGTGAGTGGGTGAGTGGGTGGATGGGTGGGTGGGTGAGTGAGTGAGTGGGTGGGTGGGTGAGTGAGTGGGTGAGTGGGTGGATGGGTGGGTGAGTGAGTGAGTGGGTGGGTGAGTGAGTGGGTGGGTGAGTGAGTGAGTGAGTGGGTGAGTGGGTGGGTGGGTGGGTGAGTGAGCGGGTGGGTGAGTGGGCGAGTGAGTGAGCGAGTGAGTGGGTGGGTGAATGAGTGAGTGGGTGAGTGAGTGAGTGAGTTGATGAGTGAGTGAGTGGGTGAGTGGGTGGGTGGGTGAGTGGGTGGCTGGGTGGGTGAGTGAGTGAGTGGGTGGGTGAGTGGGTGGGTGGGTGAGTGAGTGGGTGAGTGAGCGGGTGGGTGAGTGAGTGGGTGAGTGGGTGGATGGGTGGGCGAGTGCGTGGGTGACTTTATTATCAACACTGTGCAGTGTCCTGTGGTAAAGCTCAGCGCAGCGTCACTTTGACCGGCTCTCGGTTACAAATCAATCCCTGCTGCCACCCGACACACACACACGCACACAGGCACACAGGCACACACGTGCCAATTCCCAAGACTGTGAAACCAGAACAGATGGACACACGGACAGATGGACACACAGCGAATCCCATCAGGGAAGTCTTCAACACGAGGAGGAGGAGGAGGTGGCGATGTTTTGTGTCAGCTGAGACACATACACACACGCACACACAAACAAAACACACGTGCATCAACACACACACACGGAATGGCCACACGCACGCATGCACACAGATCCAGGCCTTTTGGGGCACGCGCTGTTAGCGAGTGGCGCCTCAGAACCAGGCCACCCCGGTTAATGCCGCGGTCGGATTAACCAAACCGAACGGTGTCGGCTTCTCGGCCGCCGACGATGGCGGCGGCGGCGGTGGCGGCGGCGACGGAGGCCCCGTCGTGACTTTAGCCGAGCCGGGCCGTTGCGCAGATTTGAAAACCGCCGGGGATTTGACGAACGAACACCGGCGCAGCGGTGACCGTCACCGGAATCGACTGCCGGTCGCCGATCCCAACGAGGGCCGCGACCGACGGGCTCGTGAGAACCGGGCTCCAGGTGAGCGCCGTGCCCGCCGGCTTGTCCAGAAAACCCCACACGGTGACCGCCCCCGACCCACGCCTCGTCGTCCAGTCGAGCTATCGTGATGGGTGGGAATTTCGGATTGATGAAGACTGACTCCCCCATGACCTCCCCCCCCTGACCCCCCACCTCCCACCTCTCACCTCTACACATGGGGCAGCAGCGTCCCGGCTCCACGTGGGGCTCCATGCAGGGCAGCGGGGGGCAGACCTCCTCCACGCAGTGAACCGTGCCGCTCTGCACGACGCCCGAGCACACGCAACAGACAAAGATCCCCCGTGTAGCCTCAACGGACTGTTGGGGCGAGTGCTGTTAGCGAGCAGCAGCGCCTGTGAAGGCCGGCACTGTGGCACACGAGGGGGTGGGTGGCCAACACCACGCCCGGCCGCCTTTGTCTCCCCAGTGGCGATGTTTACTACACACCGCAGCAGGTACTCATTTGAGGCTCAGGAGTGGTTCAGATAATCGTCACCGATGCCGGCAGTCAGTGGGAATGAACTCGGGTTGCCGGGTTCGTAGCGTAGCGCGCTAACCACTCACGCTCACACACACACACACACGTTCACACACACACACACACGCTCACACACACACGCACACACGCTCACACACGCACACACGCTCACACACATGCACACACACACACACACGCTCACACACACACGCTCACACACACGCACGCTCACACACACGCACGCTCACACACACGCACACACACACACACGCTCACACACACACACGCTCACACACACACACACGCTCACACACACGCGCTCACATACATAGACACACTCACACACACACGCTCACACACACGCACACACACACGCTCACACACGCACACACACGCTCACACACACGCTCACACACACACGCACACACGCTCACACACACACGCTCATATACACACACGCTCACACACACACGCTCACACACACACGCTCATACACACACACACGCTCACACACGCTCACACACACACACACGCTCACACACACACGCGCTCACACACACATGCTCATACACACACACACGCTCACACACACACACGCTCACACACACACACGCTCACACACACACGCGCTCACACACACACGCGCTCACACACACACAGACACACACACGCTCACACACACACACGCCGTTGTGTGTCACCATGTAGTAGTCGTAGTAGTGTTATTTACGCGGCGTTTTCCTTGAGGCACCGCGCGTAGCGACCGAGCGGAGACACGGCACACACGGGTTGTTGAGGTTGTTTGTGTTGTGGTTGTTGTTGTGGTAGTTGTGGGTGTGGTGGTTGTTGTAATTGTTGTTGTGGTAGTTGTGTGTGTGGTGGTTGTTGCGGAAGTTGTGGTTGTTATAATTGTTGTTGTGGCAGTATTGTTGCTGTGGTAGTTGTGGGTATGGTGGTCGCTGTGGTTGTTTTAATTGCTGTTGTGGTAGTTGTGTGTGGTTGCGGTGGTTGTTGTTGTTGTGAAAGTTGTGGGTGTGGTTGTTGTAATTGTTGTTGTGATAGTTGTTGTTGTTGTGGTAGTTGTGGGTGCGGTTGTTGTGGTTGCCGTTGTGCTTGGTGTAGTAGTTGTTGTGGTTGTTGTGGTTGTTGTTGTGGCAGTTGTTGTGGTTGTTGTTGTGGCAGTTGTTGTGGTTGTTGTTGTGGCAGTTGTTGTGGTTGTTGTTGTGGTTGTTGTTGTGGCAGTTGTTGTGGCTGTTGTTGTGGCAGTTGTTGTGGTTGTTGTTGTGGTTGTTGTTGTGGGTGTTGTTGTGGCGGTTGTTGTGGCTGTTGCTGTGGCAGTTGTTGTGGCAGTTGTTGTGGCTGTTGTGGTTGTTGTTGTGGTTGTTGTTGTGGCTGTTGTTGTGGCAGTTGTTGTGGTTGTTGTTGTGGTTGTTGTTGTGGCTGTTGTTGTGGAAGTTGTTGTGGTTGTTTTGTGGCAGTTGTTGTGGCTGTTGTTGTGGTTCTTGCTGTGGCAGTTGTGGTTATTGTTGTGGTTGTCGTTGTGGCTGCTGTTGTGGCTGTTGTTGTGGCAGTTGTTGTGGTTATTGTTGTGGTTGTTGTTGTGGCTGTTGTTGTGGTTGTTGTTGTGGTTGTCGTTGTGGCTCTTGTTGTGGCTGTTGTTGTGGCAGTTGTTGTGGTTATTGTTGTGGTTGTTGTTGTGGCTGTTGTTGTGGCAGTTGTGGTTGTTGTTGTGGCAGTTGTTGTGGTTATTGTTGTGGTTGTTGTTGTGGCTGTTGTTGTGGCTGTTGTTGTGGTTATTGTTGTGGTTGTTGTTGTGGTTGTTGTTGTGGCAGTTGTTATGGGTGTTGTTGTGGCAGTTGTTGTGGTTGTTGTTGTGGCAGTTGTTGTGGTTATGGTTGTTGTTGTGGCTGTCGTTGTGGCTATTGTTGTGGCTGTTGTTGTGGCAGTTGTTGTGGTTGTTGTTGTGGCAGTTGTTGTGGCTGTTGTTGTGGCAGTTGTTGTGGTTATTGTTGTGACAGTTGTTGTGGTTATTGTTGTGGTTGTTGCTGTGGCTGTTGTTGTGGTTATTGTTGTGGCTGTTGTTGTTGTTGTGGCTGTTGTGCCTGTTGTTGTGGCTGTTATTGTGGCTGTTGTTATTGTTGTGGTTGTTGTTGTGGCTGTTGTTATTGTTGTGGTTATTGTTGTGGTTGTTGTTGTGGCAGTTGTTGTTATTGTTGTGGTTGTTGTTGTTGTGTGCAAGCAGCACCCACCGTGCAGGTGCACTGGATGCAGGGCCCAGCGAGGGGCGAGGGTCGCGTCTCTCCACTGCGGAACGTCTGCCCCTCAAACTCACACCCTGCCCACACACGTGCAGAGTCGGCACGCGCGTCACCCGCTCACCCACCCACTCACCCACTCACTCACGCAACTCACCCAGTCACCCACTCACCTACCCACTCACTCACTCACCCACTCTCTCATCCGCTCACCCACGCACTCACCCACCCACTCACCCACCCACTCACGTACTCACTCTCTCACCGACTCACTCACCCACTCACCTACTCACTCATCCACTCACCCACTCACTCACCCGCTCACCCACGCAACTCACCCAGTCACCCACTCACCTACTCACTCTCTCACCCACTCACTCACTCACCCACTCACCTACTCACTCATCCACTCACTCACCCACTCACTTACCCACCCACGCACTCACCCACTCACTCACTCACCCACCCACGCACTCACCCACTCACTCACTCACCCACCCACTCACCTATTCACTCATCCACTCACTCACTCACCTACCCACGCACTCACCCACTCACCCACTCACTCACTCACTCACCCACTTTCTCACCCGCTCACCCACACATATCACCCAGTCACCCACTCACCTACTCACTCTCTCACCCACTCACTCACCCACTCACCTACTCACTCATCCACTCACTCACCCACGCACTTACCCACCCACGCACTCACCCACTCACTCACCCACCCACTCACCTATTCACTCATCCACTCACTCACTCAATCACCCACCCACTCACTTACCCACCCACTCACCCACCCACTCACCCACTCACTCACCCACCCACTAACCCACTCACTCACTCACCCACTCACTCACTCACCCACTCACTCACCCAATCACCCACTACAGCACCTACTCACACACTCACCCACTCACTCACTCATAACAACAAAAACAACAATCTAAACTAAGATAAAGTTTTTGTTGACTTAAAGCTTTCGTGACTGCAGGAATTAATATTCTTTGGGTCTTTCGGTAAAGCCATGTAGATAGAAAAATAATACAAATACTCACAATATCACTATCGCAACACAAGCAATCGTCATCAGGTGAGAGCTGCTGAAGCAGTAAAACATATATATGATATATTTTTTACTGTGATTATTTTTATAATTTTATTATTTTTAGCTCAGTGGGTAAGGCCCCAGTGAGCTGCATCCCTCTTTTTTAAAGCGACCTGGCCATCACAAATAATAGCTCAACAAAGTGGCTTGTCATGTGGAATTTACCCGCACCTCTGATTAGCACGGTTGGCTACGTACGGTGCGAAAGAAGTTCAACGCACATACATAGCAGACAAATACTCTAAACGCATGGCTCTAAATGTGGCGGGGAAATCGGAGGACCCAAAGGAAAATCCAGACAACCACGCGGAGAGAGACACCGCAAACTCCAAATATACAGCGGCAGGCGTCAAGGTCGGGATCGAACTCACGACCTCTTGCGTACCGGGCGAGGTAGTTAACATCTCCGAGCCACCGTGATGATGATGATGAGGGAGAGACACAAACTCAAAATATACAGCAGGTGTCAGGGTCGGGATCGAACCCACGACCTCCTGCGTACCAGGCGAGGGAGTTAACATCTCATAGCCACCGCGGTGCCACCAGCTTAATTACCACTCATGGCGATAACACCGTGGATGCTGCCGCCGCGGTGAAACGGTCAGCGCCGGTGGAGTCGCGGCCCAGAGGTCAGAGGCCAACGGTTCGACTCCATCTCCCGGCGGAGGGCGGCAGTTAAAACGACGAGGGGCGAGTCTCTTGAACCTCTCCCTCCACCACCCACTACCAACCCCCCCCTACACCCCCCCGCCCCCGATGCCTCTGTTCAACCCAGCAGCCGTGCGATTGGGTTCTCGACCGGAGTAAGTTGGTGATGGGCAGGTCACGTGTGATGGCGGTGGCCGTGGGGTAAGGTGCAAGTCCTCTTCCCAGGCTGTCTGGCCAGAAGTGGGTTCCTCTCAGACCTCCCTCCAGCGGAGTCTCCTCCGCCGGCAGTGACGCGAGCGATACATTGGCGGGGCCCGCTCCCTTAGCCGCACGCCTTGCGTGCCGCTCGTCTTACCGTCGCACGCGGGGCAGCACTGCCCTTCCGGGCGGCCGGGGTGGGGGCAGGAGGGCAGCTCGCACACCGGTGCGCCCCGGTCACATCCCAGCTCGCCGCCCTTGCGGCCAGGTCAGAGGTCAGGACGGGGGGGGGGGGGGCGGGGATTAAACATCGGGGGGGGGGGCGGGGAAGAATAGGGCAGCGGTCAGAGAGAAGGGAAAGGGAGGAGGGGTTAAGAGACGGGTTCAAGGGTCATCGGCGCCGTCGTCGTCATCAGCCATGGTCGACGATTTGCTGGACCGACTTCCCGATCGAGAGTCGAACTCGGGGCGGTGTGCGAGCCGCAGTCCGCTCGGCGGACTGTCGCGTGGGAGGTGAGCTGGACACGGGGCCCGAGTGGTGGTGGTGCGTTTGCCGCGGTTCTGATCCCAGCGGCCTCCCTGGTTAATGCTGCGGCTGCATCGACGGGAAGATGGACGTCGCGAGAGATTCCGTGACGTCATTTGTGTGCCGACGTGGCGGTCCAAATTGATAAGGTTTTAAAAATTACTTGCAAACTACTGAATAATAATAACCACTTATTTATCTATCGATCCAGGACATCAGCACCGAGTCCAAGGATGCTTTTACATTGGGTTTTTATATATGTTTTTAAAATATTATTTTTGAAGGTGTTTTCAGCCAACTCAATGGTGAGTGTTTCCGCGTGTGGGGGGCAACCACGCGTGCGAGGGCGCAACGCTCTATCCCCGCCTTGTATGCACATAGGCATGCACGTATGTGCGTACGTTGGACTTCTTTCTCGCACCGTACTTAGCAAACCGTGCTAATCGAAGGTGGCTTCTCCTGGCTGGGCCATGGGTTACGGCTCCTCATTGTCACCCGAACTCCGGTCATCCTGCCAGCGGCTTCTGGCTAACAGTCGAAGAAAGGCGGTGGTCGCCGCGACGTCACGCGCGGCGCTTTCAGATGCACCTCTGCGGCCGTCTGGAACGCTCTTCCTTCCGAAATTAGGAAGCTACTGGAGGTATGCACTTATAAATCATCATCTAGATTGTAAACTCATTTCTTACTTTTTGTGTTTAGTTTGTTGTCCTTCCCCTTGCAGCTCCCGATTTGTGTGGTTGGGTACGTACGGTGCGAAGAACGTTCTAAATATATCAAAGCTATTGCTTATTTGATCAGGTATAGCCCGCTGAGCTCCATAGCTCTTTTTCAGAAGCCACCTGGCCACAACTGATCGCTCAGCGAAGTGGCTTATCGCGTGCAAATTTATTGCAGCCAAACACTCTAAACGCGTGGTGGTGACGTCGATTCTAAATGTGGAGGGAGAAACTGGAGGAGGACCCGGAGAAAAATCCACGCGACCACGAGGAGAGAGAGAGGGAGACACGCAAACTCCAAATATACAGCTGGCGTCAGGGTCGGGATCGAACCCACGACCACCTCTATAGCAGGCGAGGTAGTTAACATCTCATAGCCACCATGATGATGATGAGAGAGACGCAAACTCCCAAGATTGCAACAGGTGTCAGGGTCGGGATCGAACCCACGACCTCCTGTATACCAGGCGAGGTAGTTAACATCTAGCCAACATGGCGCAAAGAGGTTCCTGTAGATCGTGACGACGACGACGATGATGATGATGATGATAAAATCATCGACCCGAAAGAGAGAGAGAAAGTGTGTGTCTGTGTGTTTTACCAGGCAGGTGCATTTCTGACAGCCGCCACCGGGGTTGACCGTCTCTCCATTCTCCAGCGCCTGGCCGTTGATTTGGCATCCTGCAGCAGGGTGACAAGGCAGCCACATCACCGTCCCTGCCCCGCGTAGCCGTCAGCCGCACCGCTGGGGTGCGAGTGCCGTCGCCGAGCCACCGTTGGCGATGCGCGGGAGTCCTCGCCAAGTCTTCGCCGTTGCGTTCGCGACGGTCGAGTTTCACGTTTGTCGAGGGCCTTCGATCAAGGCCGCTCGGCGTGGCTCACGCGGCGGTGACGCGGCATGGGGTGGTCGAGATGGCGGAGGCGGCGTTGCGAGGGGTTGAGGAACGAGCGGTGGCAACGATCGAGGGGAGCCGAGAGGGGATCACGAAGGGGCTACGGGGGAGGGACAGGAAGGAGTGGAGGGGCGAGGGGAGGGATGAGGAAGGGAGTGGGCGATGATGGAGAAGAGGTGGTGAGGCTTTGAGAGAGGATCGGAACGAGGTTAAGGAGGGGGACTGGGGCAGTGTTGAGTCTACGTGCAGTGTTGAGTCTATAGTGCAGTGATGAGTCTATGGGCAGTGTTGAGTCTATGGTGCAGTGTTGAGTCTATGGGCAGTGTTGAGTCTATGGGCAGTGTTGAGTCTATGGGCAGTGTTGAGTCTACGGGCAGTGTTGAGTCTATGGGCAGTGTTGAGTCTATGGTGCAGTGTTGAGTCTATGGGCAGTGTTGAGTCTATGGGCAGTGTTGAGTCAATGGTGCAGTGTTGAGTCTATGGGCAGTGTTGAGTCCATGGGCAGTGTTGAGTCTATGGGTCTCTATAAGTATGGGTCTCTGTGGGTCTATGGATATGAGTGGGTCTCTATGAGTATGGGTCTCTGTGGTTATATGAGTATGGGTGGGTCTCTATGGGTATGGGTCTCTGTGGGTCTCTGAGTATGGGTCTCTATGGGTCGCTATGAGTATGGGTCTGTGTGGGTCTATGAGTGCAGGTGGGTCTCTATGATTATGGGTCTCTGTGGGTCTATGAGTATGGGTGGGTCTCTATGGGTATGGGTCTCTGTGGGTCTCTATGGGTCTCTATGAGTATAGGTCTCTATGAGTATGGGTCTGTGTGGGTCTATGAGTACGGGTGGGTCTCTATGATTATGGGTCTCTGTGGGTCTATGAGTATGGGTGGGTCTCTATGGGTATGGGTCTCTGTGGGTCTCTATGGGTCTCTATGAGTATGGGTCTCTATGGGTCTCTATGAGTATGGGTCTGTGTGGGTCTATGAGTACGGGTGGGTCTCTATGATTATGGGTCTCTGTGGGTCTATGAGTATGAGTGGGTCTCTATGATTATGGGTCTCTGTGGGTATATGAGTATGGGTGGGTCTCTATGGGTATGGGTATCTGTGGGTCTCTATGGGTCTCTATGAGCATGGGTCTCTATGGGTCTCTATGAGTATGGGTCTCTATGGGTCTTTATGAGTATGGGTGGGTCTCTATGAGTATGGGTCTCTATGAGTATGAGTGGGTCTCTATGAGTATGGGTCTCTATGGGTCTCTATGAGTATGGGTCTCTATGGGTCTCTATGAGTATGGGTCTCTGTGGGTCTCTATGGGTCTCTATGAGTATGGGTGGGTCTCTATGAGTATGGGTCTCTATGGGTGTCTATGAGTATGGGTCTCAATGGGTCTCTATGAGTATGGGTGGGTCTCTATGAGTATGGGTCTCTATTAAAACGGGTGCTGTGCGTCCATCGTGCAACAGTGGCTATGAGATGTTAACTCCCTCGCCTGGTGTGCAGGAGGTCGTGGGTTAAATCCCGACCCTGACGCCTGTTGTATACTTGGAGTTTGCGTGTCTCTCTCTCTCATCATCATCACCGCAGTGGCTATGAGATGTTAACTACCTCGCCTGGTGTGCAGGAGGTCGTGGGTTCGATCCCGACCCTGACGCCTGCTGCTGCTGCTGTATATTTGGAGTTTGCGTGTCTCTCTCTCTCTCATTATCATCATCATCACGGTGGATAGGAGATGTTAACTCCCTCGCCTGGTCTACAGGAAGCTGTGGGTTCGATCCCGACCCTGACGCCTGCTGCTGTATATTTGGAGTTTGCGTGTCTCTCTCTCTCTCTCCCCGTGGTTGCGTCGATTTTTCTCCGGGTCCTCCGGGTTTTTCCCCCCACATTTATAAACAACATCACCACCGCGCGTTCAGAGTATGTGGCTGCTGTGAAATTCCACGTGACGATGAGCCACTTCGCTAAGGCTATCATTTGTGATGGCCAGGTCACGTCCGAAAAATATCTACATAGCTCAGTGGGCCCTTACCTGATCGAATAAAAACATCCACAATATCAGTTTGTGTGCTTAGACCGCGTAACACAAAAACCTCTATCGTGGACAATATTGGAAAGTCAACGTGTTAAACGGAATAAAAAATAGTGTCTAGCCTTAGTTTCGCGTCAGGCACTCACCGCGGCACTCTGGGCAGCACTGCCCGGGTCTTTGCACGGGGTGGCTGCACGTGAGTGGCCGGCAGTGCACGGGCGAGCAGCGGATCAGGCTGTCCTGCACACGCGAACACTCGGCGTCATCGGTGACATCATCAGCAGCAGCATCATCATCATCATGAGCAACAGAATCATCAGCAGCACCATCATCAGCAGCATCATCAGCAGCAGAATCATCAGCAACAGCATAATCATCAGCAGCATCATCATCACCAGCAGCAGCAGAATCATGAGCAGCATCATCAGCAGCATCATCAGCAGTATCATCAAAAGCAGTATCAACAGCAGCAGGATCATCATTATCATCAGCAGCAGCAGCAGTATCGTCACCAGCAGTATCATCATTTATCATCATCAGAAGCATCAGCAGCAGCATTGTCATCATCAGCAAAAGTATCATCATTGGTAGCAGCATCATCATCAGCAGCAGAATCAGCAGTGTTGTCATCATCAGCACGGTCAGCAGTAGCTGCAGCATCAGCAGCAGTGACAGCATAATCATCATCATCAGCAGCATTGCTGTTATCGTCATCAGCAGCAGCATGTTCATCATCATCCACTGCAGCAGAAGCGTAATCATCAGCAGTAACAGCAGCGGCATCAGCGGCATCAGCATCATCAGCGGTGGCAGCATCATCAGCAGTAGCAGCAGTAAGAGCAGCAGTAAAATCAGAATCAGAAGCAACATCATCCGCAATCATCATCATCATCAGCAGCAGAAGTCTCGCTATCAGCATAATCACCACGTGCGCTTCGAGGGCCGACAGGGGATCGCAGTTGCAGCAAGTGTGGGGTTTGATTAAAATCTGTCGGTGTGGAACTTTGAGCGAGACCCCCCGCCCCCCACCCCTTGGTTCTCCAGAACCCTCCCACAGGGAAGTCGCCAAACATCTCCACGTGGCAGGCACCCTCCTGGCAACGAGTCTTGAGACTCTGTCTCTCTCTCGTGTGAGGATTTACGGGCTAGACTAAGAACGTATATTGTTGCCGTCGTTGTTGTTATTAATGTGGCTGCTGTAAAAAGAAGAAATATATGTGTAAAAAGAAGAAATATATACTTACTTAAACAAATCCACACGTGTTTTTATTTATTAAATAAGCAAAACTCTGGACCGGTTTCGACATTCAGTCTCTCATCAGCAGTAGAGTCAGCCTTGCTTGAACCAATGCTGGTGAACGGCCAGGTGTTTAGAAGCACGCACCCCTGTCTGATAGATAATATGGGTCCAGCTGCTGATGAGAAACTGAATGTCAAAACCCAGTCCACGCCTATAAACACCTGGGCAGTTCATCAGCATTGGGGCAAGCAAGGCTGACTGCTGCTGCTGATGAGAAACTGAATGTTCAGATAATCGTCACCGGTGCTGGCCACGAGCGGGAATCAAACCCCAGTCGCTGGGTTCATAGCGCAGCGCTAACCGCTGCACCGCCGCTCCCCACATCGTCATCGCCATACATACACACATACACACGCGCACACATACACGCATACATACACGCATACATACACACATACATGCATAAATACACGCATACATACACGCATACATACACACATACACGCATACATACACACATACACGCATACATACACACATACACGCATACATACACACATACACGCATACATACACACATACACGCATACACGCATACACGCATACACGCATACACACACGCATACACGCATACACACACGCATACACACGCATGTATACACGCATACATACACATATATACACGCATACATACACATATATACACGCATACATACACGCATACATACACGCATACATACACGCATACATACACAAAGACAAAGATCCCCCATATAGCCTTAACAGACTGTAGGGGCAAGTGCTGTTAGCGAGCACCTATGAAGGCCGGAACGGTACACGAGGGGGTAGGTGGCCAGCACCACGCCCGACCGCCTTTGTCTCCCTAGTGGCAATGTTTACACACCGCACCAGGTACTCATTTGAGGCTGAGTCGACCTAGGGGAGGCCCGGGACCGGTTCAGATAATCGTCACTGGTGTTGGCCGTGAGCAGGAATCGAACCCGGGTCGCCAGGTTCATAGCGCAGCGCGCTAACCGCTACGCTATCGCTCCCCACTACACGCATACACACACACATACGCATACATACACAGATACATACACACACATACATACACATACATACGCACCAAACAAGAGCAATTCAGACAGGGGTTGCTGTTTGCGGTGAAGAACTGCCCATCCTTGTAACGCTGTCCTTCATACTCGCAGCCTGCAGAACATCGTCATCATCATCATTACCGCCATCGTCATCATCATTTTTTCATCGTCATCATCATTACTGCCATCGTCATCATCATTACTGCCATCGTCATCATCATTACTGCCATCATCATCATTACTGCCATCATCATCATTACTGCCATCGTCATCATCATCATTGCCATCGTCATCATCATTACTGCCATCGTCATCATCATTACTGCCATCATCATCATTACTGCCATCATCATTATCATTACTGCCATCATCATCATCATCATTACTGCCATCATCATCATCATTACTGCCATCATCATCATCATTACTGCCATCATCATCATTACTGCCATCGTCATCATCACAGGGCAGTGATATTCGTGCGGTGAGTGTGGTATGGTGGATATAGTGCAGTGCGTGTGGTGCGGTGTGGTGCGGTTAACGTGGTGCAGCGTGGGTGGTGTGGTGCATGTAGTGTGTGTGGTGTGGGTGGTGTGGTGCATGTAGTGTGTGCGTGGTGCATGCGATGCAGTGAGTGTGGTGTCGTGTGGGCAGTGCGGTACGTGTGGTGCAGTGAGTGTGACGTGGTGCAGTGCGTGTGGTGTGGTTTCAGTTTTCTGTTTCAGTTTCATTTATTTGGTATAGCCCTGTGAGCCATTCGGCTCTTGAATCGGATGCATGTGGTGCGGTGCGTGTGGTACAGGTGGTGCGGTGTGGTGAGTGCGGTGCGTGCGGTGTGTGTGGTACGGGTGGTGTGGTGAGTGTGGTGCTGTTTGAGTGGTGCGGTGCGCGTGGTGAGCGTGGTGCGGTGTGGTGCGAGTAGTGCGGTGTGGGTGGTGCGCGTGGTGAGTGTGGTGCGGTGTAGGTGGTGCGGTGCAGGGCGGTGCGAGTGTCACCAGGCCGGCAGGAGGGGCAGCACTGCCCAGGCAGGTGCTGAGTGACAGGGCAGCTGAGCTCAGCACACACGGTCGCCTGGCACTCAGCAATCCCATCCTCAAAGAGACATCAACATCATCAACATCATTAGCATCGCCATCATCGCCATCAACACCATCATCACCATCAAACCCCATCCTCACAGAGACATCAACATCATCGCCATTATCATTGTAGAGGTGTTAACTACGCGCTGTTGCGTAACCTGCATTGCCACCAGGGCAGTGCAGCATTACCCCTGGGTACAACGGTTGGGGTCAGTCGAGGTGAAACGGATCGTAGCCAGGGTTTGGTACGAACCAATCAGACGGTTCCACGTGGGAATGTATGATTAGTTCTACCTGCCCACGAAGGAGTATAAGACGGGTGACCCAACGGACCTCGGGGAGTTCTCTCCCTGCACGAAGACGGGAGACTGGGCTGAAACCTAGCTAGGACCCTGGACCAGCCTTCCAGCCCTTCTGAGGGCTAAGGCTCGGCATACCCAGTGGTCAGGACCCACCGGGCCAGCGGTGGGTCAGATAGCCTCCCCTAGGTCCTAGCCGGAGGACTAGGATAGCGGTAGACGTGTGAGTCCCGCCAAGTCCGGAGGTTGTACCTCCCTAGGGTATCGGGTGAGGGGACCGAATATCCCTCTGTGTATCTTAAGCATTGTATAAGGAAATAATACAATAAACAGAGTGTGCCTCCTAAAGAAGTCTGCTCGTCCTTACAACACTACATCACCATCAAACCCCATCCTCACGGAGACATAATCTTCAATGCTATCATAACCAGCACCATTAAATCCTATTCTTACAGAGACATCATCAACATCATCGCCATCATCACCAACATCATCCCCGTCATTGTCGTACACTCAACCTTCGATTGTTTATTTTAGAGAGAGGTTATTTATTTCAGTAGGAAGGGCCCAAAGTGATATAGACTACTTTACTACGCAAATTAAAAATTTGTGTTTTAATATTTACGTGTTCTTTTTTTTTAATTAAGGCCCCTTTATAATAACATAAACTAAAGGCCCTGCACTCACTTTATCGCGCACTGATGCCATGCTCGTGAAAACTGACATCATCGTTATCACAACATCATCATCGTTATCACATCATCATCGTTATCACATCATCATCGTTATCACATCATCATCGTCGTCGTCGTCATTTATCCAGCCCTCTCCTCGCACTCGGTGACCACGTGGATGGCGGCCATGGGACTGACCGTGCAGCGGCACGTGGTGCAGTCGTCGGGAGCCCACGTGACCGTGTGCGCATGGCCACCCTCGCAGTCTGCATCACACACAGACGACGCACGGACACGCGGGCGTACATACAGACACACCGACAGGTGGTTACGGAGACACACGGACACGCAGACACACGGAAACATGGGTACGGATACACACGGACACGCAGACACATAGGCACAGAGACACACGGGCAGACACACGGAGACACAGATACATGGGTACAGCGACACACGGACACGCAGACACACGGACACGTGGGTACAGAGACACACGGACAGACACACGGACACACAGACACATGGGTACAGAGACACACAGACATACAGATATATTCACACATGGACACACAGGGACACGGACGCACGGATACACAGGCACACGGACACATGGATATCGACACAGAGAGAGCACAGACACACACACAGACACATGGGCACACAGGTAAATGAGTTGGGTGGTGTGTCTGACGTGTGTGGTGTAGGTGGTATGGGCGGTGTGGGTGACGAGTGTGGTGTGGGTGACGAGTGTGGTGTGGGTGGCGAGTGTGGCGTGGGTGGCGAGCGTGGTGAGTGTGGTGTGGGTGGCGAGCGTGGTGAGTGTGGTGTGGGTGGCGAGCGTGGTGAGTGTGGTATGGGTGAAGAGTGTGGTGAGTGTGGTGAGGGTGGTGTGGATGGTGAGTGTGGTGTGGGTGGCGTGGGTGGTGTAGCGGTTAGCGCGCTGCGCTATAAACTTGACGACCCGGGTTCAATTCCCGCTCACAGCCAACACCAGTAACGATTATCTGAACCGGTCCTGGGCCTCCCCTAGGTCGACTCAGCCTCAAATGAGTACCTGGTGCGGTGAATAAAAACATTACCACTGGGGAGACTAAGGCGGTCGGGCGTGGTGCTGGCCACCCAGCACCGTTCCGGCCACTAACAGCACTTGCCCCTACAGTCTGTTAAGGCTATACGGGGGATCTTTGTCTTTGGTGTGGGTGGTCAGCGAGTCCGCGAGCGGGTGAGCGAGTTAGCGGGCGGGCGAGTAGATCGGTGATCTGTGCCTTGGCGGAGTGATATGCCACGGTGGCTAGGAGATGTTAACTACCTCGCGTGGTATACAGGAGGTTGTGGGTTTGATCCTGAGCCTGACAACGCCTGCTGTTGTATATTTGGAGTTTGCGTGTCTCTCTCTCTCCCCGTGTCGCGTGGATTTTTCTCCGGGTCCTGCTCCGATTGTCCCACTCCCCTCCACATACGGAATCAACCCACGCGTTCAAGATTATTTGGCCGCTGCTATGAATTGCCACGTGATGACGACGAAGAAGCCGCTTTTTGATGGCCAGGTCGCTTCTGGGAAAAATAAGCTGCATAGCTCAGTGGGGCCTTACCTGGCAAAATAAACAAAAAATAGTTTATAGTTTGGATTCGAAGCTTTCGTGACTGCAGGAATCCATACTCTTTGGTTCTTTCGGTAAAGTCACGGTTGTCATCAGGCGACCCCGCCTGATGACGACCGCTTGTGTTGCGATCGAAACGTCGTGATTTGTTTTATTTCATTTCTAGCTACGTGACTTTACCGAAAGAACCAAAGAGTATGGTTTATAGTTTAGTTTCTGACCGCGTGCGTGACACGACCACACACCACACAGCTCGTTCGATGACAGTGGCCAGGAGACGATAGTCGAACACGGGGGGAGGGGGTGAGGGTGGGTGTCATCCCAGGCGAGATTTGGACGCAAACTTTTAAAAGTCGTCAGCAGCAGACGGCCTTTGTCTAGCCCCTGAGAGACGGGCGACCTCAGTGTGGCCTTTGACGCGACCTGTAACCTGCGCAAATAAACCCGGGCCCTTTCCTGATTATTTACCTTCAATATTGAATGGTGGTCGTGGGGGAATGAGGGGGCGGGCGGGCGAGCGGGTGGGTGGGTGGGTGGTAGGGGGGCGGCTGGTGGTGTGGCCGGGTCTCTAGATAAAGAAGGGAGAGTGACACGGGCCACAGGCAGACGCAGCTCACAAAGAGAACGACCGCCTCGGTTCTTAAGCCAGGCAAAGACAAAGATCCCCCGTGTAGCCTTGGCAGGCTGTTGGGGCAAAGTGCTGTTAGCGAGCAGCACCGATGAAGGCCGGCACGGCACGGCACACGAGGGGGTGGGTGGCCGACACCACGCCCGGCCGCCTTTCTCTTCCCAGTGGCGATGGTTTGACGCACCGCACCAGGTACTCATTTGAGGCTGAGTAGACCTAGGGGGAGGCCCATGAACGGTTCCGATAATCGGCACACGAGGGGGTGGGCTTCCGTGCTCTACATTTCCACTTGACAAGCACAGTTCGATTGTGGCCGGGTCGTTTCTGAAAAAGATGTGTGGGACCTCTTTTTTTTTGCCCGTATCAAAAAATAAGAATAGGCTTTAGCCCCTAGTCTGACACGAGCTATATAGCTCAGTGGGCTTTACCTGCTTAAACATAAAATAAAAATTGTAAAAAAAAAAAATCTCCCAGCTCGGAGGCAAGTTTCTTCAATCTCCAGGCACTCTCGGTCGCGAATTCGTGCGGCCGCGTCGAATGGGGCCATGCCGGCAGACCTGGCGCGGTTGGGTAAAGTGGGCAAGTGCCACCCTGCTTCCAATACGTCTGGCCAAGGTGGAAGGAGTGGAGGAGGAAGAGGAGGAGGCGAGGCCCAAAATATCCTCTAGAGTTGTTGGGGGGGCGGGGGGGGAGCACTCACTTTGGGCCTTTGCTCCAGTGGAGTGGTAAGCGAGCGAGCCACGATGGTTGGCGTTCGCACGACTTACTCGCTTCATGCCGCTACCGGCCGTCTGTCACGCGCGCACCTCCCGACGCTCCTCCACCAGCGGCCCCCTAGCACGGGAATAATTGAAACGTCTCGGCGATGAAATTATCACCGGCGTCACGAAAGTGGAATCGCGTTGCGGGGTGCCCGCGACCTCGATGGGACGAGGAGGAAGGAGGAGGAGGGGGGGGGGGTCAAAGGTTCAGGATGGACATAAATCGCCCCCCCCCACCTCACCCGCCAAAGTCAACACGGCCAAAAATGCGGTCTCCACTGAGTCTCCGCTCAGCTGCGGGGGGAGGGTGGGGGGGGGGGGGTTGAGGCAGAGGGGGCCCCTGAGCCTTCGGGAGGAATTTTTTTTTTTGCAAACGCATCACCCGCCACTTGCCGTGGAGCGCGAGGGGCGCCCCCAAAACGCCGCTCGGCCGGCGACGAGCGGCGCCGCGGCGACGGGCGGAGAGAGCCGGGGCCGAGGGGGCCCCGTGGCCCCGTGGCCCCGTGGCCCCGTGGCCCCGTGGCCCCGTGGCGGTGACCGCTCGCGGCTCGTGCGGCTGTCGGGCGCTGCGGGGTAACGCGCGTGCCCGAGCGCCGACCCGGGGTTGTTCGCGGTGGTGTTCGTCAGTCGGGACTCGTCGGGTGCACGGGCCCCGGCAGATATTCTCGCGCGGTTGGTTTAATTATTCTTTCTTTCTTCGTCCATAGGGTATATAGGGTCGTCTATAGGGTATATAGGGTCGTCTATAGGGTATATACGGTCGTCTATAGGATATATAGGGTCGTCTATAGGGTATATAGGGTCGTCTATAGGGTATATAGGGTCGTCTATAGGATATATCCCTAATAACAGCAGCAGGGGTGCCACGGTGGCTATGAGATGTTAACTACCTCGCAAGGTATGCAGGAGGTCGTGGGTTCGATCCCGACCCTGCTGCTGCTGCTGTATACTTGGAGGTTGTGTGTCTCTCTCATTATCATCATCACGGTGGCAAGAAGATGTTAGCTCACTCTCCTGCTATGCAGGAGGTCGTGGGTTCGATCCCGACCCTGCTGCTGCTGCTGTATACTTGGAGGTTGTGTGCGTGTCTCTCTCGCTCCCCGTGTTCGCGTGGATTTGTCTCCGGGTCTTCCGGCATTTCCCACCCGCCACATTTAGAATCAACTTCACGCATTCAGAGTATTTGGCCGATGTACACTTCCACGTGATGATGATGATGAGCGACTTCGTTGAGTTACCGTTTGTGGCCAGGTCTCTTCTGAAAAAGAGCTACGTAGCTCAGTGGGCCTTACCTGCTAAAATAAAAGTTTGTTTAGTTGAATAGTTTAGTTTATATGAATCCTTTATTTACATTAGATCATGCCTACACAAGTCGGCGTACGATTCCCCAGACCTCTCCAACCGGAGACGTGCAGCGCTAATGCACAAACGCTTTCAACCGCAGCTGAAAAGCGTAAAAATTGGGACAAAAGTGAACACTGATGGAGATGTAACAATGTGGCCTTTGAGCTCGGGGTGGAGGTGTGTGCGTGTGTCTCTGTGTGTGCGCGTGTGTGCGCATGTGGGGAGCGGTGGTGCAGCGGTTAGCGCTACGCTGCGCGACGAACCTAGCGACCCAGGTTCGATTCCCGCTCGCGGCCAACACCGGTGACGATTATCTGAACCGGTCCTGGGCCTCCCCTGGGTCGACTCAGCCTCAACTGAGTGTGCTCATTTGAGGCTGGCGGAGACAAAGGCGGCCGGGCGTGGTGGTGGCCACCCACCCCCTCGTGTGCCACAGCGCCGGCCTTCATAGGTGCTACTCGCTAACAGCACTTGCCCCAACAGTCTGTTACAGGCTACACGAGGGATCTTTGTTGTGGATGGGTGGGAGGAGGAGGAGAGAAAGGAAGGCCAGTCACAGGGAGTCTGGCAGCTGAACAAACGAATGAATGGCCATCGCTGTGCTTTGGGCTCTGGCAGTGATGAGTGGGTTGGTGGTGGTGGTGGGGGGGGGAGGCCTTTGAGTTGGACCTGTGGAGGTTTAACTCTTGATCGTGTCCAGCTGCACTTGGCGGCGTTTAGTTTCAGGGAGGGCCTTTGCATTACCGAGTGCTGAACAGGACACCACACGTCAACCCGCACACTCGTCCTACTGAGAGTCGCCCACACGTCGACCCACACACACGTCTCGCTGAGAGTCGCCCACATGTCGACCCGCACACACGTCCTGCTGATAGTCGCCCACACGTCAACCCACACACACGTGCCGCTGAGAGTCGCCCACACGTCGACCCACACACACGTCTCGCTGAGAGTCGCCCACACGTCAACCCGCACACACGTCCTACTGAGAGTCGCCCACACGTCAACCCGCACACACGTCCTACTGAGAGTCGCCCACACGTCAACCCGCACACACGTCCTACTGAGAGTCGCCCACACGTCAACCCGCACACACGTCCTACTGAGAGTCGCCCACACGTCAACCCGCACACACGTCCTACTGAGAGTCGCCCACACGTCAACCCGCACACACGTCCTGCTGATAGTCGCCCACACGTCAACCCACACACACGTGCCGCTGAGAGTCGCCCACACGTCGACCCACACACACCACGTCCTACTGAGAGTCGCCCACAGGTCGACCCGCACACACGTGCCGCTGAGAGTCGCCCACACATCAACCCGCACACACGTCTCGCTGAGAGTCGCCCACAGGTCAACCCACACACACGTGCCGCTGAGAGTCGCCCAGACGCCGACCCGCACACACGTGCCACTTAGCGTGGTGGGTTTAATGATACATTTATCTCACCCAAAAAACCTCACTATGGAAGTTCAACACAACAACAACCGCCACTCGCCACTAAGTGGCGGTGACATCACCACGGCGCTTGTGCCAGGCTATGTGCACGTTAAGACCAACGCACACACACACACACACGTACACTACAACTCTATATCTTGTCTCTACATCTCTCGAGAGCGGCGTTCTTCACTAATTTTCATAGGGGGGGGGGGCACTTTCGCCAAGAAGACTCGTCAGTGTGAGGGCCGTGTGTCTATGTTGTGTGTCTCTCTCTGTGTCTCTGTGTGTCTGTGTTGTCTCTCTCTGCTTGTGTGTCTGTCTGTGTGTCTATGTTGTGTGTCTCTCTCTCTCTCTGTGTCTCTGTGTTGTCTCTCTCTGCTTGTGTGTCTGTCTGTGTGTCTATGTTGTGTATCTCTCTCTGTGTGTCTCTGTGCTGTCTCTCTCTCTCTGTGTCTGTGTTGTCTCTCTGCTTGTGTGTCTGTCTGTGTCTCTCATTGTGTCTGTGTTGTCTCTCTCTGTGTTGTCTCCCTCGGTGTCTCTGTGTCTCTCTCTGTGTCTGTGTTGTCTCTCTGTGTGTCTCCGTGTTGTCTCTCTCTGCTTGTGTGTCTGTCTGTGTGTCTATGTTGTGTGTCTCTCTCTCTGTGTCTGTGTTGTCTCTCTCTGTGTGTCTCTGTGTTGTCTCTCTCTGCTTGTGTGTCTGTCTGTGTGTCTATGTTGTGTGTGTCTCTGTCTCTGTGTTGTCTCTCTCTGCTTGTGTGTCTGTCTGTGTGTCTCTCTCTGCTTGTGTGTCTGTCTGTGTGTCTCCGAGTCTGTGTTTTGTCTCTCTCTCTCAGATTTAATTCAACCTGATGACGGTTGCTTGTGTTGCAATCGCAACGTCCAATTCTATTTTTGAATGTATTATCTTTCTACGTGACTTTGCCGAAAGAACCAAAGAGTCATTCCTGCAGTCACGAAAGCTTCAAATCAAGTTTCTTTGTGTATTGTGTCGGGGGGGGGGGGGGGGGGGCCCACGTCAGGGGCCGCGCTAAAGGCCGCCAGTAGCCCACGAGACCTTGCAATGAAGATCAACTGCCCTACAGCCCTTCATCTTCTTCTCTTTATCATCATCTTAATACCGCTAACAAGGGATCCCATAGATATCTTTGTTGTCGTTGCCAAAGGACTTAGGTCCCCCGTGTAGCCTTAGACGGGCCGTTGGTGCAAGTGCTGTCAAGCGAAGAGCACCTATGAAGGCCGGCACGGCCTACACGCAGGGGGGTGGGTGGCCAGCCCCACGCCCAATTGTTTAACACACCCATTTGAGGCTGAGTGGACCTAGGAGAGGACCTCGGGGCGGGTGGCCGTGAGCGGGAATCGAACGGGGGGTCTCCGCCGGGGTTCGTAGCGCAGCAGCGCGGTGCCAACCGCTGCACCACCGCCGCTCACGTTGTCGTTGCCACCACCACCACCACCGCCGCCGCCACCACCACCGCCATCGCCACCACCGCCACCACCACCATCGCCACCACCATCGCCATCACCACCACCACCATCGCCACCACCGCCACCACCACCACCGCCACCACCACCACCACCGCCACCACCGCCACCACCACCATCACCATCGCCACCGCCATCGCCGCCACCACCACCGCCAGCACCACCACCACCATCGCCATCACCACCACCACCACCGCCACCACCGCCACCACCACCACCATCGCCACCACCGCCACCACCACCACCACCGCCACCACCGCCACCACCACCGCCGCCACCGATTGAAGCACCCACCCTTGGGACACGTGGGGCAGCAGACTCCGGGCTTCTTGACGGAGTTGCGGCACTTGGCTGGAGCGCACTCCTCCTCCTTGCAGCTGACGTCTCCATTCTAGTGGGGGGCGGGGGGGGGCAGGAGAGGTCGTGCACAGACAGAGGTCACCACCCCCCCCCATCCCCACATCGCTGTAGCCCACGCGGGCTTCTTGGGGCACGAGCGGGAATCGAACTCGTGTCGCCGGGTTCGTAGCCGCGGCATTTCACATTCTGCGCCATCGCATGCGAACAAAGACAAAGATCCCCCGTGTAGCCTCAACACAATTTAGGGGCAAGCGCTGTTAGCGAGCACCTATGAAGGCCGGCACGGCACACGAGGGGGGCGGGTGGCCAGCACCACGCCAGGCCGCCTTTGTCTTCCCCACTGGATTTTTTTTTTTTTTACTTACAAGGACCGGTTCGTCACCGGCGTTGGCCGTGAGCGGGAATCGAACTCAGGGTTCGCCGGGTTCGTAGCGCTAACCCGCTACACTACCGCTCCCCACACACACACACTGACACACGGACATCCGTGCGCGTGTCCGTGTGTGCGTGTAGGCGTAGGGAGCTGGGGGGCGGGAAGGCGATGTCAAAGGCAGGCGAGCTTTGTGAACATTCAATAGGGGAGATTGAGTGGGTGGGTGGGTGGGTGGGCGAGCGCGTAACGAGGTGGGAGAGATGGTAAAGGTGGTGATTGATTGAGTTGGTGAATGGGTGAGTGGGTGAGTGACGAGGTGGGTCATAGGGTAAAGGTGGTGATTGATTAAGTTGGTGAGTGGGTAAGTAACGAGGTGGGTGAGTGACGAGGTGGGTGAGTGGGTGAGTGACGAGGTGGGTCATAGGGTAAAGGTGGTGATTGATCGAGTTGGTGAGTAACGAGGTGGGTGAGTGACGAGGTGGGTGAGTGGGAGAGTGACGAGGTGGGTCATAGGGTAAAGGTGGTGAGTGATTGAGTTGGTGAAGGGGTGAGTGGGTGAGTGACGAGGTGGGTCACAGGGTAAAGGTGGTGATTGATCGAGTTGGTGAGTGAGTAACGAGGTGGGTGAGTGACGAGGTGAGTGAGTGGGTGCGTGGGTGAGTGACGAGGTGGGTCATAGGGTAAAGGTGGTGATTGATTGAATTGGTGAGTGGGTGAGTGAGTAACGAGGTGAGTGAGTGGGTGCGTGGGTGAGTGACGAGGTGGGTCATAGGGTAAAGGTGGTGATTGATTGAGTTGGTGAGTCGGTGAAGCGTTGAGTGAGAGTGACTCGCTGGGAAGGGGTCTGTACAGGCGAGCGAGTGAGCGAGTGGTGGAAGCAGAGAGGCGCTCACCACGCACACGCAGGACGTGCAGGCGTTGATGTGAAACGTCTCCTGGTTCTTGTAGATCTTCCCGTCGTAGCTGCAGCCTGCACACGGAGACACACGTGCACACCCCCTGCTCATCAACACAAAAGACGAAGATCCCAGTGGCATCTTTCACGAGCCTCCTCCAACTACCCATACAAAGACAAAGATCCTGCGTGTAGCCTTTAACAGACTGTAGGGACAAGTGCTGTTAGCGAGCACCTATGAAGGCCGGCACGGCACACGAGGGGGCGGGTGGCCAACACCACGCCCCGCCTTTGTCTCCCTAGTGGCGATGCTTACACATCGCACCAGGTACTAATTCGAGGCTGAGTCGACCTAGGGGAGGCCTAGGACCGGTTCAGATATAATCGTCACTGGTGTTTTCCGCCGGGTTCGTAGCGCAGCGTAGCGCTAACCGCTACACCACCGCTCCACACACACACACACGTACACACTCAACTCTCACACACACCTCCTGCTCGTCATCATCAACACACACACACACACAGAGAGCGTGCACGCCACTCACAGCGCGTAGCCTGTAACGGCATCGGCGCTGGAGAACGAACGCGGCGAGCGGGGCCAGGCGGCGGCCCGAGGCGGCCACGTGGAAGCCTAACCACGTGTTCACAGCCCCATGCGATACAGTATCCATCCGTCGGTCACTGCAGCAATCCCGGCGGGACCAGTCGGGCAACCAGAGGGGAGCGTGGGGAATATTTTTTTGACCTGACGTCGAGTTACGAACTCTGTGCACGGCGCTCAAGTCACCTCGGTTCCTGCAAGAGGCCCCCCCCTCGTGCACTCGCAACGAGCCACTGGGCCGGGTGCGCGCGTGCCAACATCGTCGCCATCACCAACCACTGGGCAGGTGCGGCCCGTTGGTGTCCAGTGCACGTCTACGGCGTGGGTGTCCACTTTCCTCGCTCGCTCTGCCCTTTGCAGTGCCAATGTGTATCAAGCGGCGTCCAAATATTGAAGAGGGACGGGAGTGGGGGGGGGTGGGGGGGGGGAGCGGTCAGTGCGGTGGTCGGCGCGCACGGCACCACCCCGCGAGGGGCCAAGCGAGCGGCGTCCTCCCATCACCACGGCGACGCTCGCCACCTTTTCCGCTCGGACCGCAACGATCCCGCCGGCTGGACGGACGCTGCATTTTCACTTCCCCCCAAATAAAATTTCTCTCTCGCACGGTGGGGCGGGCGGGCGGGCGGGCGGGGGGACAATCGCTGCAAAAAAATATGTGTGTAAAAAATATGAATAAATAAAAACTCTAAATACTTACCTGGGCACGCACCGCTGTGCCTGGCCTGGCTCACCGAAGGAGAGTTCCCCTGGTACCCCCCCCTCCCCCGTGCCTCTCACCCCCCCCCCACCCACCGACGCTCTGCGTCCGCGTCACTTCGCTTCGTTCGTAAATGACGGCCCGCCGGAAATCCTCGCGCCGCGATGCCGATGGCTTCGATGCAGAGGGCGCAGGGTCCGGCGGTTCGCGCAAAAGACGTGAGGGCACCCCGGATCGCCGGGGCGACGGACGACGACGGAGGGTGAGACGCCACCTGACTCTCCGGTCGACCCGTAGCACCCCGGGGGAAGGGAGGTCGTCTCCCTCCCGTGACCTCCTGCCAGGCGGCGAGCCCTTCCCAACACAATCACCAGCCCGCGGCAACGCGAGCCGCCGGCGTCGTGGCTCGAGCGGCGGGGTCGTCGGCGGCGGCGGCGGCGGCGGCGGTGCCGTTGCTGTCGGGACGCGACTTGCATCTTGGGGGGACGGCGGTGCGGCGAGGAGGTTGTACGATGCTGCTCGTCTGCGAGCGGAGGTCCCCGTGTGTGACGAAGGATTTCCCGTCGCACTCTGGGCTGAGATCCCGGACGGGAAAATTCCGTAGACCACCAACAGCAAGTCGGGCGACAATAACGACGACGGCCACCGCCACCGGTGACGATTCGGCCCTGGGCCTCCCCTAGGTCGACTCAGCCTCAAATGAGTACCTGGTGCAGTGCGTAAAACCATCGCCACTGGGGAGACAAAGGCGGCGTGGTGCTGGCCACCCCATCCACTTCGTGTGCCGTGACGGCCTTCATAGGCGCTGCTCGCTCACAGCACTTGCCCCAACAGTCTACGTGGTGGATCTTTGTCTTTGTTGTGTGTATGTACGCGTGTGTCTGTGTGTGTTTGTGCGAAGGTGCCTTAGGAATGAGACGGACAAAATAAAAACGTAAAGTTGTTTTGTTGTTGCTGTGTCCAAAGTCACAAACTTTATCGGTGGGGGAGGGGCGGGGGGGGGAGTAAAACGGAGCGTGGATCGTCGTCGTTGTACAAAAGAAAGAAAGCGGCACTGGCTTCCTCCACGCTTCCTCGTAATGAATCCGACAGAATCGCACGAAACACAACCACACACACACACACCGGTCAGGGTTTTCTTGTTGTGTTTTTTTTTAAACCGATAGTAACACAGAGAGTTAATGTTCACGTTCCGTTCGGGAAACGGCGAGACTTGACGGTGGCTTCGACCGCTCGGCAAGAAGTCGACAGACTTCATTTTGACCGTCCGTTATAACTTACAACTATAGACTTAAAAAAAATACTGCACTATAATTTCCGCCGTTACCAAACGCCACGACATTTTTTTTTAATACGAAATAACGATAATAACAATAAATATTGGCACCGAAAGGGAAACCATTTTAGACCGACGGCGATTTGAGGCCTTCTACAATCCCAGGCCCAAGGCCTAGACAAGGTCCAGTGTTGTGGAGTAGAGCGTTACTGTAGTCAGAATTCGAATTACAGGTGCTGGTAATCCCATAAAATGCTGAGGCTTTTGACGGGTCATCAGATTACAGTCACTAAACGCGATTACAAAAACGAAAAATGTCCTCCCAATTTCTATCCCCGGATGTGCTGTCGACGTCATTGGCACGTCACAAGAAGAACATTCCATTTGCATCTTTCACAAAGCAGCCCCCCCCCCACCCCCTTCTTGTTACAGAACGGCCCACGGAAGTGGACAACAGAACTACTCCTGAGATCACTTAAAATGACATCAGGTTCACGACGTATGGGGTGCTAGAACTTTCCTACCCACCCTGGGCACGTCATCATATAATAATTGGATAACCAAATATATTAATTGGGATGGGGTTTCTTTTTGTGTGCAGTCATTGGTGACTGTCGACTTCCTGCATTTAGTCCGTGGTCTGACGACATCGTGGTGTGCATCGTGTTGCGATTTGGCCACAAACGCATGTGGCAAAGCACTGTAATCCTAAACAGTACTCATCCCATAACCTGATGGAGTTGCCGAAACTAAAAAAAAATAATTTTGAATCAAATTTGAGATTACATGAGATTCACTTCTGATACCTCAAGTCATCAGAAATCACAGCGATTACTTTTCAAAAGTCACCGCCCTCCCACCACTGGCTTCATCTCATCGAGGCCCTGTGCGCCTGGGGTCACATCTTGGGCCTCCTTCCGCCTTAGGAAGGAATCAGGGCCCCCCCTCCCCCACCATCGGCCACGCGAGGCCCAGAGGAAACTGCCCTACCCCGGTCCACCAGAAAGCGTGCCCACCATCGTCTCAGCCAGGACGGTCAAGGATCATCACGGCCAACGGCAGCAGCAGCAGCGCCGGCGGCGGCCGACCGTTGTGCCAACCCCTTGCCAATCCCGCGGTCACTGGAGGAACCGTGTGGCAAGTTCACCCGCGTGGCGGGAACCCGGATTTAATAGGGCACTCTGGGAAAAATAAGACGCACCCCGAAACGTGTGCCCGGTGTCAACGCAGTCGGAGAGATCTGGTCACACAAAGATAAAGATCCCCCACCCCTCCCCCCGTATAGCCTTGGTAGACATTAGGGGAAAGTGCTGGTAGCGAGTAGCAGCACCTATGAAGGCCGGCACAGTACACAAGAGGGTGGGGGGGGGGGGCAGCACCACGCCTGACCGCCTTTGTCTCCCCAGTGGCGATGTTTACTACGCACCGCAGCAGGTACTCATTTGAGGCCAAGTCGACCTAGTGGAGGACCGGCGGTTCAAATAATCGTCACCAGCGTTGGCCGTGAGCGGAAATCAAACTCGGGTCAGCGGGTCCGTAGTGTAAACGCACGCGCACCTACCGGATTTTAAAGATGCAGCTTTAGCCTTTTTGCTTTTAAATACCAGGGGTAGAAAAACTTCATCGGTGTTCCACTAACCGGCGCTGTCCAGCAATTAGTTTTTGTTCAAGCAAATCTTATATAATAGCGAAGGTTTCGTGAGATTTTTTTTTTTACTTTTTGAAGCGTCAGCTTAAAAACTAGGCGGTTAACAAACAGCGGGAAAATAAGATGATGAATTTGCCGCCGGTTGAAACGGCGTTGAAATGAAAGTGACCGTGAGAACGGAACAAACGTCGCACACACAGATACGAAAATTCCCCCATGTGGCACACGAAGACTGTCGGGGCAAGTGCCTATTAAGTCTGCACCTTTTGAGGCTGACTCGACACACGAGGAGGTTGATGTGGCCAGCACCACGCACGGCTGCCTTTGTCTCCCCGGTGCTGACACTGACACTCGGCAACAGATACTAATTTAAGGTTGAATCAACCTAGGAGAGGCCCACAACTGGTTCGAATAATCCCCACTGATTTTTTTTTCCGTGGCCGGGAATCGAAATCGGGGCATATCGAGGTTCGCGGCGCAGTACGCTAACCGCGGCGCCACCGCTCCATACGTGCGCACGCACGCACGCACGCACAGCGCCATACACAATTGCTGGCACGGGGAAAACGCAATAGTTACGTGTGTCACTAGCGCACATACCAAGCACCGTTGAAGTAACTTTACTACGATCAGTGCCACCGGAGTTAATGCCAAATATTTACCACCCTTCGCAGCGGCAAAGTGCCTCTCTCTTACGATCAAAGTTATTGATAAGCAACTGTGGTGAACCTATCTTCATTTGGCCACCGTTCATTAAACTTTCCAACAACATCTGCACGCATATTCATTGGAGTCTGCAGTATTAAAACTTCCTTCAACGTCAAAAGTGGAACACATCGTATGCTATGTAGTA